AATTAAATTAATAAAAGTTTTTATAAACTATTTTATTATTAATAATATATTTATAAAATATATAGAAATAAATATAAAATTATTAAATATAATAATTATAAAAATAAAAATTATTAGAATTTAAATAAAATTTTAATTTTTTTAAAATAAAGTTTTATATTTAAAATAATTACCTATAATTCTATTCTTTTTAAATAATATTTTAAAAAAATTATTATACTTTATAATTAAATTTATTAACTTTTTTTTAAATAAAATATTATTACTACTATATAATAAATAAATATACTAGCTATAAAATTATTTAAATAAATCTTATATATAATAAATCTTATAAATTATAAAAATAAAAGTTTAAATAGGCTATAAAAGCTTTAATTAACTATTGTTAAATATATTTTACCCCTTTATAATAGTAGATTTAAAAACTCTTATAAAAAATATAAAAAAATAAAATACTTATTACTAGCTTCTAAAAATAGCTATAATTCTAACTTTATTTTATATTTCTTTACTTTTAAACTTAGTTCTAAAAAATAATAAAAGATTTAAATATATTTATAATTTATTATTTTTAAAAAGTAATTTTATTAATAACTTTATTAATATAGATAATAAAGTATTTAAATATACTAAGTTTAATATTATTATTAATATAATACTTAAAATAGGTTTTAAAGTAATATTTATAAAAAAGAATTTTTTTAATACTTTTTAATATATATTAATAATAATAAATAAGTAATAACTTTTTAACTTTTATTAAAATAATATATATTAGGCTAACTATTATTTTTTTTTAATTTAAAAATAGTATTTTTTATTCTTAACCTTTTTATAAAAAGTTTATATTATATTATTTTTTATAAATTTTATTACTTTTTAGTTCTCTATTATTTAAATAACTTTTTTATAATTTTACTAGAAAATATTAATATAAAATAATATAATAATAATTTTAATATTATTTATAAAAAGTTTATTTTACTTATTAATATAAAAAAAGATATTACTAGCTTTTTAATAGAATTCCTAAGTATTAAAATTAATATTATAAAGATATATATTAAATTCCTAGATAATAAACTTTAAAAAGCTTTAATAAAAATATTTTATATTTTTAATAAGAAATTAATATTATATAAAAATTTTAACTTTTATTATAAAAATTATATAACTTAGATACCCTTTCTTAAGATATATATATAATACTTTTATAAAAAGGAAAATATAATATAATATAAAATTAAAAAAAATATTTATTTAAACTTAAAATAATAAAATATTTTATTATTATATTATAATAATTATTATTTTAAATATATTTTAAAATTCTAATAAAAGTTCTTCCTTTAGTTAAATACTACTTCTATAAAAGATTTTAAATACTTTTTATTTATAAACCTTACTAAACTATTAACTTTAAAGTTTATAATTATAAGCTTTTTCTAAGTATTAATTTTTATAAATATTTAATTTTAAAAAGTATTTATAGTTTTAAATACTTTAATTTAATAAAAAAAGCTACTAGTAAACTAGACTATATATATAATAAAGGATAATAAGCTAATTTACTATAGCTATAAAATTTTTTTTATAAAAAGACTAGTAATAATTATTATTAAGAAAGTAGCTTTATTTATTACTATTTTTAATTTAAAAACTAATTAACTAGTAAGAAAAATAAATATTTTAGTTAATAATTTTTTTTATTTCTATTTTAAGAAAATTATTAATAATTATTTTTAATTAATAAGTTTTATAAAATTATAGCTATATTAATATTTAAGTTTTTTTACTAATAATTCTAACTTTTAATTTTATTAAAACTTATTAAAATTTTTAACTATAACTTAATAAAGAATATATATACTATATATATAAATATATATAATAGCTACTCTAAGTTTTATATATTTAAAGACTTAGAACTTATTATACTAGTAATAAAAGAAAATTTATATAAATAGTTTATTAATTATTTCTATTTTTAAATTTAGTTAAAAATAATAAAAGTATATTTTATAAAAATAAGATTAAAGTATATAAAATAAGAATTTAGTAATAATTACTTTAATTATAAGTTTTTTAGCTAATTAGTTAAATATATCATTAATAAAATTTATAAAACTTATAATAAATATAATATTAAAGAATAATAATTTATTATTAAAAATATATTAATTAAGATTATTTAAACTTTAAATATATTTAGATTTAATAAAGTTTTATTATATATTATTTTCTACCTAATATTTATAGGCTTCCTATATTTAAATAAAATTATATATAATATTAAAAACTTAATATTTAATTTTTTTTATTAATATTTAATAAAGTTATTAATTATTTTATATAAAAAATATTTTATATTAAAACTTTTAAGCTTAAATAATAATTTATATTAAAAAAATATTATTTTATATATTATTAAAATAAATAATAATATATATTTAATTAACTTATTATATTACTTATTTTTATTTATAATTTTTAAATAAATTTCTTACTATTTTAATTATTATTAAGCTTATTTATATAAAAGATTACTATTAATAAACTAAATTTTATATTATAAAACTATAGCTTATAAAACTATTACTTAGGATATTTTTTTAAAAGAAAAGTAATAACTTAAGCTAAAAAAAATAATTTATTAAATTATAATATTTAGCTCTTAAGCTATGAAAAGTTAAAAGCTTATATTTATTATATTAACTTTTTATTAAATAATTTATTAACTATATTTAAATACTTTTTATTACTTTATATAACTATTATTAAAAAATTATATTTTCTAGTTTTATTTTTTTAAAATAATTATTTAATTACTAAGTTTAAGTATAGGTTTAGTTAGCTTAAAAATAACTATATAGCTTTATTAATAAAAAAGTTAATTTTTAACTAGTATAAATATTTAATAATAAAGTTTTAAAACCTTTAAGTTTTAAGCTAGTATAGTTAATATTAAATTTATAATTTATTATATTATTATATTTAAATTTATTAAATTATTAAAAAATCTAATTAAATTAAAGGTTAATAAGCTAAAAGCTTATTTTATTTAATCTTTTAAGCTTTTATATAATATTTTAATAGCTTTTATTTTATTATTTTTATAATTATTTCTATTAATTAAAAAGCTTTTAAAATATTTATTTATTATCCTTATATATAAATCTATAAATATAGACTTTAAAGCTATATTAATAAGAGGTTTAGCTAGTTTAAAAGTAGCTATATAGCTTTGCTAGTAAGAAAGTTAGTTTTTAGCTAGCGTAGACACTTAGTAAGTAAGGTTTTAAGACTTCTAAGCCCTAGGCCGGCACGGCTAATATTAGATTTATAACTCATTACATCATTATGTCCAAGCTCGTCAGACTACTAATATCTCGGAGATGGTTATCTTCCAAATAGTACAAGAGGGGGGAGGTGGGGGTTGAGAAGGCACAGTTTCTGGATTTGCTACGGGCAAAGCCTTGAAATCGATCAAGCACACCAACACGGGCCTTCCATCAAATCGGCGCTTTTGAATGCGAGGACTACGGAAGCCGCAACCTATATGCACTGACGATAGAATCTAGGGGTGCTGGAGAACGTTGTAGTCTTTGAGAGCGACTCAGACAACATTATTGCGATAGGACAGAGTGTCAGCGTAATAGCAATTAGTCTACGTATAGTATCATACGGAGGCGAGTAAAGTGTACCCTTCCACATGGCAATGTAAGCCATGTCTCTAAGCTGGACGCAGGCTAGAATCGACATCCAATAGCTCTTGATCGACTGACAACTTTCCCACCCGTGGAGGAAACTACTTGCCTCTTTGTTCTCCAAGAGCGACACGTTAGCTAAGACGTTATAGAAAGACGCTGAGCATTGTTAATGCTTAGGATCTCTTATTCCCAGCGTAAAGGCTACGTCTTCGTCCTACACATTCTCATTCGGTAAGTAAGGAGTGTCCTATATAAAACCTTTATGGAAATGTACTCCCTAAATTACACTCCTACTACAGCCATAGTGATGTCAATATGCGCCCATAGGTCAAGGTCGGTGGATCAGAAGGGTACCTCTGTGCTCTGGTCATCCAAATCGCGAAGGAGCCTGACAATCAATAGAGGCCTCATGGATCATGTACTCTACTTGTTTGAAACGGTGACTTTGTAACCTTAATAGCCAAGAGATCAACTGCATGATCTTAGCAAGTCTCTCTCATGCTCTTGCAATATTAGGATTTTGCGGCGCGAGGAAAGTACGGGGGCTGTTAACAGAATGCTCCGGATCGATGCTCGACTATGAGATGTATTCAAGTGTTGTCTCGCGAGCATTGAATTTCATAGAAGAGCGGCTGCTACATACGCGTTAGATAGCTTGGAGAATCGGTCGGGCAGAGAAGCATCTCCAACTTGCAATTGAGGTTGCTAAGGGAACGGTCGCTAATGCTGTCTTTCAAGAGGTCTGCTTGGATATTCATTGAGCATTGGATTCTTGTGTGACGTTGAGTAAGGTCGTTCAACATCGTTCCAAGCATGGCGCACATTTCCATGGTGGACTTCTATCTGCATGAACTATCCGTAGAAGCAGCACGATGCTCAAAAGCCGCACTTGTAAATTGGGCTTTGATTCTGTGACACTTGTCAAATCAAAGAGGAACTTGAGTGTCAAAGGTACTGTTGTGAGACCTCCAATATATGACAGGTTTCGATGCCGCGATTGTGGGTTTATATACCTTTTGAGGGAGTCAAATTATGATGCCAATGCACCAACAGGTTTCGTCTCAGACATGTTGTTTCAAAGCCAATTATTTAATTGGTAATGACTCATTTTATGATGTAGACGCGGCATTCTATTTTTGGACTGAGATTTGGTCTCACGCACGAGGCAGACCGTCACTGAGACATGTAATTATTCCGCTTAGGCTGAAGATTTCTTATCCTGAACAACATTCTGTTCGCACTTCCAGTTGTCTAATCGCTTCATTAAGCAAAGAACAAGGGGATAAAATGTGGTTGACTCCATTGGTGTGGTTGCTGTTGAGCGATACCTCTGGTGTTCTTGGTGACTTTACTGCTAGCGAGCCAAGTAACGACAACGTCACCTTCCAGTGAGTTCTTTATCGCTGGCTGAGAAATGTCTAATACTATGTAGTTATCCAGCGCCACAGAATTGGACGCTTCTTCCTGGGGAGAATCTGTGAGCCTTCCTCTGGATCCCCAACCCCAATGATACACTTCCACAAGATACTGACTGAAAAGAACCTCAACTTTCACGGTAACTGAGTTCCCACCCGACAACTTTGACGTCCATATCCAGTTCAGAAGCCGTGGACAAGTCCTCAGCAGATATGACGCATGGCTCGCAATCCTTGAATGTCTAGCGGATGAAGCAGTCAAAGGCTGGAACGACTTTGAAGGATCACTTATTTGCTCGGCAAAGAATGTTGGAATTAAATTCGTCCGTAATCGCAGGCTTGCTGATCAATCGCTACCACAAGTGAAGCACGTGATGTGGTCTCTCCTTATCGTAGTTACTCAATTCTGGGAGGCACAAGACCCACCGCATTACGCGGAGGCAATCTTTCAGCCCCAGCTCGATTCTCAATCGCTAGGCATTGGACAGGCCCTTGCCATATCTAACGACTTGAACACGTCAGCTCCAGAATCTGACCACAAAGCCTTTGAGGTCAACGCAAATCCTGCAACCTCTATCAACGCCACAGACAAGCTCAAAATCGACTTCAATCCTGACTTGACCTCCCCCACCATCTGCTCCCCCATAGACTTCTACCTCATCCTGATGGGAGCGCTAATACAACTCGGCCCCGTCGACTCAGACGACCAGCTCCCCGGCTTCCGCATACACGATGTCGAAAAAGATGTGACCTTCCAGATTGGCGTGGATGAAGGGCGCGACTACCCGTACCAATGGCTCCTCGTTGCCGCGCTAAATCTCATCGGGGATGTTATGGCGAGGGAGCCAGTGAATGAGAGGTTTCGGCCTTTCTATGGGAAGATCAGGTGGAATGGGGTTGTGGTTGCATTTATGGAGTTTACGAAGGGGGAACCGCTGTCGCTTTCCGGCCCTTCAGACACTGCCATGGTAGCTGGAAATAGTCACTACTCTGCGACTGCAAGTCAAGGAGTAAGTAGTAGTCTTGGGATGCCAGGAGATCCGATTTTAACCTCGTATCCGGGATTGACGTCGTAAGGGAGTCTCTTTCTTGATCGAAAAGGCCATTGGCAAGTCCCAATGCATAGTTTTCCGGTCCCACGGCGCTTCCTTTATATGACAACACGACTTTATTCAGCTCTATACCCATACAATTACATGTCATTCATCGCAATGATAGCCCATCAAAAGATTCACCTGCACTAGGAGGCGGCGATGAGCTTGTCAACAGCACAGAACTGAACGATAGAGTTACGAAGGTTGTCAACAGCACAAAGCTCAACGATGGAATTGCGAAACCACCCGGTGAACAATCAATCAACCACGATGCGCTATCGGAACCAGACTTAAGAGCGCTGTCGTGGCCTCCAAACAAGCCTCTTCCAGAACTTCCACAGGGACAGGCAATAGCTGATTACATGCCTGAAAGGGACATGACTCCGCATGTGTATGTGGTCGACAGTGATATTGATCCTGAGATTCCCATAAGCTTTAATCTTGCTATGCTCTTTTTCCCTTCAGCCTATAGCTTTGCCTAAAAGTTTTAAGGACTTCAAAGACCTTGACAATCCGCCTACGTTTAGAAATTGGCTTTTTATTTCCCAATTTGCTTAAACCCATGTTGATAACGACCCTAAAGGCCACGGCATATGCGTCGCATCCAAGGCGGTGGGCCGCTACGCCGGTGTATACAAGTATGCTAACCTGGAGATTGTCAAGACGACACTCTCTTTTAGCGGTATGTTCGAATCTTTTTCCATGATATTGGATGAGGTTGTGGGATACAGGCTTCAGCACATTACCGTCATCTTGCCTATGTTAATCGATGAGCCGTACGAGGAGCCCTTACCGGCTAATTTACCGCCACCGAGGGATAGGTTTGCAGAAGTACTGGAAGAACTAACTGATGCGTCGAATAATGCGACTGTGGTGATCGGGGCCAGGAACAATAGAAGGGCAGAGAGAAAGGTGAACACATTTCCGCCGCTGCTAAGCGAGTATGGGCAAAGAGTGATTGTTGCCGGATCGACCAACTGGGGAGGAGAGAGATCGAAGTTTTCGCAAGCATTGGACGGGATGGAGAAAGGTATGGTCTGAGCGGTTGGAGAAACGATCTGTTCAAGGCCGGACGTGAGACAAGATTTAGGGATAGGAACGAATTTGGCTGCTGCAGTGGTATGACCTGATACTTCACATCACTTCCACGTGAGTTGACTAGAGTCCATATGCTGACGATGTTGGTAGGTTGAAGGCCTCGTCGCCTACCTGCAGGGTCTCCATGATAGGCCGTTTAAGAACGTGTAAGGACCGCTGTTCGACGCAGTCACTGATTTCCTCGCCACAAAAGCTTCGAGGCAGTATATTGCCGCTGAAGTGATAAGCGAGCGAGTGATCTGGAATCTGGTGGACGGTACCAAGTGGGCCGTACCGTCTCTCCCACTAAACCAGAGCCAGACACTCAAGTCTATAGAGAGGATATCGATTGAATGAAATACCATTACATTGCTGCAAAGCTGATTATTATAGGGAAAAAATTGGCTAGGCAGTCTCAATGGCCGAACAGCTATAAAGAGGGAGATAGCTGACAGAAGAGAAGAGCCCATGGCAGAACATAGTCGGCTATCATGAGCAAAAGCTTTTAACACATCTTGCCAATTACAGAGACATTGCAGACCTGGTAAGGTCACTGTTCGCTTCAAGTTCGAATCGACGACTAATGTATACCAAGTGTAAGGCAGCCAGCGATCCTAGCCTATGCAGGGTTGGCATTCAAGATGGCAGGGCAGATACTTCAAATTGAAAGCAGCAAGTAACCCCAAACATGAAATTTAACAGCGGTGCCAACCTAAACGGATACCTAGTGTGGTTCGAAGTGTATAGCAAATCATACTCCATGTAGAAACGCTTCACTATGGCTCAAGTCTTGCTAGAAGAGGTTGAAGAATGAAAGATGAAACAAAAGCCAAAGTAGACGGGTGCAATGACTACTGAGCGCTCTAAAGAGCTGAAAACGAGCAGTCTAATGGACGGAGAGCCACGCCGTATTTGAGACGAGATGACTATCGTATACACTGAAGCATACCGGCTAATATCATTTGAGGATATCTTTCGCAATTCCGGGTCCGCAAATTGCGCGTCAGTACGCTACAACCTGCCGAGTATCACTTGACTTCATCAAACCAACGCAGGTAGAGACTTATGGGCATAGCTTGATTTGTCTTATACCTCTATTGAAACTACCGCCTTGTGTAAACACATCAACCCCAACTATACCTATCTTATATATATATATCCTAGAGTAATCCCAATCCACCCCCTGCCTTAGCCTATCCTACCCACCTAATAGAAAAGCGCCACAACCCCAACCTCCACACACCCCGAAACCGGCGGATCCCCCAAATAAAGCACATCATCCAACGGACAAGTAAAGAATCCCGTCACCACCTCCCCACTATCCACATCCGTCCCTATACAAACAACATCATTCGCCCCACCCCCCGAGACGACGCAATGGATAGCCCCCTGCGCCGCCCCGGGTACATACTGCACAAAACCAACCTCATTCGGCCCATTAGTATTATCAAAAATCGCCACCGTGTTCACGTTCTCGACAGGACGTAGGAGGGAGCCGTCACCCGTCAAGGTGAAGGTGCCTGCCTCAGCGAACGTGGGCACTCGGTCCAGGACTTCTGAGATTGCGCCGAATTCTGAGGCGGCGTATTGGATTGAGGGTTCGAAAGGAGTCGTGTAGCAGTCGAAGACTGTGCGTTTGTGGGAGGACGGCGATGGTTGTTGATGAGGGGAAGAGGAGCGTCTCGACTTCTTCTTCGTAAGCCGGTCGTTGGGTGCAGTGCCGCAGATGTCGTGGATTTCGAGGCGTAGGTTCCGGTCAGTGGTTGTAGTTACGGGAGGTGTGTTAGGGTCCGTGTAGGGGGCGCAGCACTGGGTGTTGATGTTAGTGTGTGGGATGTGAGGAGGAGGGGGAGGGTAGGGGTGGTTTCTTACTGCCATTCCGGCGGCGGGGTTGCCGCATTCTTCGGCCGCGCCATTGAGGGGGCTGTCACAGTCCCCAATGGCCTTGCAGGTGCCAGGGAAGCCGCCGAATGTGCATTGGATTGGTTGTGTTTGGGCGGGGGGGAGGGTGCAGCACTGTTGATAATATTAGTAATCAGTCAATGTGAAGGCGCTTGCATTGGTACGGAGGGAGGAAGAGGGGAGAGAGAAAGAGAGATGCGCGTACTTGTAAGGGAACGAGTGGAGTTGATGGACAAGCATCATTAGCCGTGCTGACATATTGCTCGCTGTCACAGAAGCTTTCAGTAAGGCAGGTTCCAGCTTGGCCATTAGTCTCGCAGGCTGTGACGGGTTTGGTGCAACACTAGAGTTCCTCGTCAGCTTATGGTGCGTGAAATTGGCATACTTGCTGGTGAATCTCACCTGATAACCGTTTGCCCCGTCTCCGCATTGGTCAGCCGGCCCCATAGCACCGCCGTCATCACATTCACCGACGTATCTGCAGGTACCTGGCGCGCCGAGGAATGTGCATTCTGTTGGTGGCGGTGGAGGTGCGCAGCACTTCAAGCACAAGTCAGTCCATAAACGTACAATGATTCAAAGCGTAAGGGGGCCAGGGATGAAAACTCACAAGTTGACCAGTCGGGCACGTCCCTGCTGGGAATATATTCGTGGACCCTACACAAGCGTCATACGTTTGGCAAGTATCACCACTTCCATCAGCGCCACAAGTTGGAGTCACGATCGCCGGAGGCGTGCAGCATGTCTGCCCATCTGTAGCGCAATAGCCTTCCGTGACACTGCCGGTCGTAGCAAGACAGCCAGCCAGGCCGCCATCCACACAAGTGTTTCCAGTCCCAAAGACACCACAAGTCTGGACATCACAGCAGAACTGCCCATCGCCGTCGCACATTTCATCCGTAATGGGTGTCCCCAACGCAGCTGCGCAAGTACTCGCGTCACCATTGATGCACTGTCCTTCATTATTGCCACTCCCACAGGTCGGTTTCGGTGTTGAGTCGGGGGGGATACAGCAGACATCGCGTTGTCCGCCGCAGAGACCTGCAGTCACAGTACCCGCCGAGTCAATGCAGTCACCTGTAGGTTTGCAAACTCCTCCATTGCCACTGGCGCCGCACTCTTCAATATTCGGCGAACAGCACTGCTGATCCTTGCCCGCACACCTCGCAGTGACCGGCGTCCCCTGCGCAGCACACCCCTCGACACCCCCATCAACGCAGACATCGCTGCTGCCATCTGCACCACACTCAGGCTCCGGATCATCAGTCACGATGCAGCACTGTTCGTCTTTCCCACTGCACAGACCAACGGCAACTGTACCAGGAGAATCAGTGCAACCGAGAGCTCCACCAGCAACGCAAGTGGCTCCATTACCGCTAGCTCCGCATTCTGCGATGTTAGGAGAACAGCACTGCTGGTCTTTGCCCGCGCACGTTCCGACAACTGGTGTGCCCTGCGAGTCAAGGCAGCCGGTCGCGCCGCCGTCGACGCAGGTGTCGGTGCTGCCGTCTGCGCCGCAGGTGAAGGAGGGGGTAGGGTGGGTGCAACACTGGATTGGGCGGCAGGTCAGCTATGAAAACTCTCAAGAGAGGGGGGAAGGAGGAGGGGAGTAGGGACTGACCTTCAAAGGCCCGTCAGGCACGAAGCAGTCTCCGCCCACATTCCCGAAAGTCGATAAGCAGGTCCCTTCAGTCTGACACAAGCCTTGGCCTTGGCCTATCGCGCCCGCGCACGTGATTCCTGGTTCCTCGACCACGCAGCACTATAGTTCCATCGTTGTTAGCTCATCTGTGCGAGAAGAGGATTGCCTGTGCCGGTGTGTGCAGACTGAGAAGAAAGGGGAAAGGTGGGGGGGGAAGACCTACCGATTGTCCAGGATTAGTACAGCCTAAATTACCAAAAGTATCTTGATTAAGGTAATCCCCTTGAGCGGCGGCGCATGTTGATGCGTCGGTGCAGGCGTAGGTGTTTCCCCAAAGGAGCACGTTTGCGGGAGATTTACCGTGCTAGAGGATGCGGAGGCTGGGGAGGAAGAAGTGCCGGAGCCCGAGAGAGGCAGTCTTGTGCCATTCGATGGAAATGATGGAGGTCCGCCGGAAGGTGAGCCGGATGGATGGCTGATTCCTGTGTTGCGCCCAGTACCTTTTGATGGGTAGGGCATTGTGCCAGAGGGCGTGGAACGGCCTGATGTCCCAGAGGCGTATCGGATACCAGTGCCGCCAGATATTGAGGGACGAGGGCCCATGGAAGCCATGGAGGAGTATCTGGAAGGTGAGCGGGAGACAGATGTTCCGCTTTGTGATTTGCTGGCTGTTCCTGATTGGTAAGGGGCGTTTGTTCCGTGAGAGGGTGAAGGGAGAGGTTTTGTACCAGATCCGGAAGGGCGAGAGGGAATTCCTGAGGGGCTTTTGCTACCAGAGGGCTGGTAGGTCGGGCGCGAGCCGCTGGGATGAAGCGGGGATTTGCCTGTTTGGCCTCCATGAGCTGAGCCGGATGGGGAGACCTTTAGTGAGCTAGTTGCTCCAGATTTACCGGTGAATGCTGCATTGCCTTGGCTACCTGAATGTGTGGGTAGCGATGTATGGTTGGAGAACGAAGGGAAGATGCGAGTAGAGTCTCCTGGAATCGGCAACCTTGAATGTAGAGATGAAGATGATGTGTAAGTTACAACGCCCTCGACGCTTGAGCTCCCTTTGCCGCTATCGGACGAACCGCTGCCATGATGAGAGCCATTGCTGTCAGAACCTCCTTGGTGTGTGCCGCTACCATTGTGAGAAGATCCACTGCCACTCGAGCCATTGCTGCCAGAACCTCCTTGGTGTGTGCCGCTGCCATGGTGCGAAGATCCACTATCATTCGAGCCATTGTTTTCGGAGCCTCCTTCATTCGAACCATTGCCATTGTATCCATTGTCGGAGCCACTATTGCCAGAGCCACCGTGTTCGCTCATCCCAGAATGCTCTCCGCCACTGGAGGACGGATTTCCCGATTCAGTACCGCCCTTTGTATTCCCATTTGTATTCTCTTCCGCCTTGCTCCCACTGCCTCGTGACCCAGCTCCATTTACGCTGGACCCAGACGACTGCGTTCCGCTGAGTGCTGCCCCCTCCTCTTCTTCGCTCTGCGATTCAGTGGGGCTCCAATCCCGGCGCCGATTTCTGACGGGCTATTAGAGGTTGCAAAGGTTGATTCGGGCGACAATGTGACGGTGACGAAGACTGTTGTGTAAAGCTGACAGCTGGATGGGAGCTGCTCATGTCGCTCCTCGAGGGCAATTTGTGCGGAGACCAGAGCTGAGAAGGCGCCCAGGCAGAGGACTGAGAAGAGGTTGATAATTAGCATTATGAAGTACGATTAAGAATATAAGTAAGCAAGGTAATGATATAGAAGTCAGAGACACATAACGAGCGTGGTGCTTATACAACGAAAGGCGCTATGATTAGTATATACAAAGAGCGAGCACTCGGTCGAAATGACACTGCGATGCTGCACACGAACGACACAAAACAAAGAGCGAAGAGATGTTGAAGAGAAGATGGAAGTTCGGGATCTAGGGATGTGATGCATGCCAAGCACGGGCGACCACAACCTGGAAGCTAGTGCAAAAACCAAATAAGCAAGATCGCCACAGGCAATTCTGCAAATCCCCAGTAACCAGTTGGTAGCCAATCGTGACAACGACATCGGCATGCTAAATCAACGGTCTCCCCTGTACGTCCCGATCAGGCCATGTGGAAATGATGAATGCCCAAAGTACAGTAGTTTGAGCGGGAAAGACAAAGCTTGGGAAAGCTTCTTTCCCTAGTGGATCTAGAGATCTGCACGTGTTTTTGGTTCTGGCAACGTTGAAGGGCGCCACCAGTCGTGTGGCGTGATGCAGAGGATGAGATCAAGATCGTGTCGCTTCTTCGCTCTCACGACGAGTCTATTGTTACTTTTCATTGCGTGCCGTAGTGAGTAATTCCTGCCTGTTTGCAGAAGCTAAGGGAAACTTCCGCTACATTGACTTTTTCCCTAAAGCCAAAATGGAAAGAGCACTAAAATGGCCTAGACTTTTTCCCCTGACGGAATTGTTTGGTTCGATGATGTCATAGACAAAAGATTTCCATGTAAGTGCGAAGTGTATCAACGAGCAATCTCCTGATCGGAGTATGCATTCGCCGAGACTCCAGATCTTCTGCTGGCCGTAATATCACATGCGATAAGCTCAATTGAGAGCATTTGTATGGAAGCTGCTGGGAAGAGGGCTAGGTTGAAGCGAGCGATCGAACCTAGGTAAAACGTTGATTCGAGTTGGGGCCCACATGAACGGAGTAGCAGACCTTGTTTGGTCTCCAACAGCGCATACTCGAAACTCGGTGGTGGGTTCCGCACCGATCACAGACTGAGATTCGTTTATGTATTCCATGGGAATCTCCACCATGAAACACAAGTGGTTCCGCCGTTTTCGACCGGCCAAAAGTAGCTCTGCGACGTCTCTGCTGTTGGTCGTATGCTGCTAAGTGATCTCTATGTCTCTCTGTAAGGAAAGTGCTATTACCTTTACCAGCCGAAAGACTGTTGAGCAAGCCACTCATTTTCTTAATGCCTCCGTCTTCAGGTTGCCATGCCACAAATCAAACACGGAAGAAGGTGAAGGAGACAAAGACCGCATTTGTGTGCTCAGACATTGCGGTGAAAACTGCAGAGTCCTCCTTCAAGATTGCTGCGGTGCCATCTGACACAAATATTTCCATATTAACAAGCCTCCCAACGTACGATGAGACAACCATCAGAAATGCTAAAATTCTAGTAAAAAGGGAGCGAAGCGAGAAAACCTCAGCCATTTCATACAATAATACTTTAGGACCAGTGACGGCTGCGAGGCTCAATCACTCCTTATGGGTATCCGAGATAAAGAACGTAGTCTTCGTGACTTCAACTAGCTAGAACGAAAGGCTGCAATTGCTAGACACACGATGGACATGCTGGTCAGGCAAGCGCGGCGAGTTCTGCGTCTGGAGAATTGTATCAACTGGGTATGCCGGTAGACTTGAACGGAGTGTAGCATTTTGCCATTTCCATGCCATTAAGTCACTGTCTTGATGGTAGCGCTCATTGAGATATGACTTGCGCTGCTCTCTCCCTGACCGTCCAGTACAACGCGATCCAGGTATATAACATATACTTCTCTATATTCTCATTCATCGGACATGTCGGGCTTGAAGATCTTGACGAAGAAATGACCAAGTTGTGTTTCTCCGCGAAAATGAGGCCGGCTATGCGATACAATCCCAGAAGCTTGTGGAGCCGGAGCAGCCGTTGTTGAAATTTTGATGGATTCTACTGGCATTGAGACTAAGTGAGAAGCGCTTGGAACAAGACAGAGCTTAGAGCGAGTGGGGTGGCTTCCTCATCGTGAGTGGTAAGATTGTCGGTACGATGGTTTTTCATGATTGGCAAGATTCGAGTCAGCATATCTGAGCGAGTAAAAATTATCTCGTCTAGTGCAGCGGTCTCGTAATCACAGCTCAATTGACTTGAGAATCTATTTCATCTCCAAACCGTTTGAGAGAAACGCGTATAAAATGAGATATAACGATGACTCTGAAGACTTGAAGGAGACGTCATCATAACAATATATACCCTGAAAGCAAGAAGTGAACAAGCATCATAATAGGCTTACATAGTCTATATGCGAGCTTTACAACAGTGATATAGGTACGTAAAGACGTCATTGATAAGATTTGCTGAGTACGCCTCGGTCGCGTTGCGTCGCGTCAGATTTCGACGCGCTCTGTAAATACACACAAGTAGCGCAACATTTATCCTGTATGAGTCCAAAACAATAACGAAGATGTTGAACTTGCTGGAGCTTCTAATTGATACTCTGCGGCGTATCGTCGAGTCAATAGACCTAGAGCAGAAGTATAGATTCCCAAATTATTTCCAAATCTCGGTAGGACGCAAACTCCCGGCCTATTTCTTGCTCTGTAAATTGTGGTGCGATATAGCTTTGCTGGTCCTCTATTCGCATCTCAAGTATAGTCAGAGCAAAGATCTGGTCAATGCCTCCTCTACATACTAGAGGAAAGTGGGCAGTAGAGCCAAAGCAATGGAAGACGAGGGATACAGGGAATAAGAATCACGCTATGTTGATGTGGTAGAACACATATTTTATAGATAGGTATATGCCACAAATGTTAGACCGCAGAGATCTAACAGCAAGAGGTGACACCGTTGATAACATGAAATCGTGCCGCTGCTCAAGTTCAGGGTTCAAGTATCCTTTGCATTGCAACTACAGCAAGAGCTAATGTACCTGAAAGCGCGAGCCATAGCGATGCCCAAATCTGGCATAGAGGATGTTTCCCTGGTTTGCGAGTCTAAAAAGGGTTTTAGCTCCTCCCGCTCTGATACACCATCTACATCGTACCGCTTGGGCCAGCCAAACGTGACGTTTGTCAGCAATATTTAGGGTCGAGCCATCAAGACAAAGCGTGTCATATTAAAAAATGTGTTTTCAGGAGATGTTCCCCCGTGGGCTGGACCCTGTTCAGATTCGCAAGCCATTGCTCTTTTAATTTAGGGCTGCCAATTTGGGCAGGTGGACTGGCCCATCCCATCCCTAGCCTCGCCTTAACGCCAGCAGACAACCGACAGGTAGCTTAAAACAGACAGAGCTAGCGTCATTGAAGCTAGCTCCAGGGACCGTAAGATTTTAGCACAACATACTAGCAGCCTGTCTTTTGCGGGGAAGAAATATCCCGTCAGGTCCCCGATGTCACCCTCCCCACGATATCGCGGTCCCTGCATAAGGTTATGCACCCATAACCGGATTTTTTCTCCCCACGTATTTTCATCCAATCGAATGGGGACGGCTTAGTGCTCTCGCGAAGACCACACTTTCACGAGGCATAGCCTTGTCTCTCGCGAAGGCCATACTTTCACGAGGCATAGCCTTGGCTCTCGCGAAGACCATACTTTCACGAGGCATAGCAAGGCTATGGCTATGAATGGCAAGACTATGGCTTGCAATGGCTTGTCTTCTAGTGTGTTGAAACTCGTTTCTCGACAGACTAAACCAAACACCCTCGCAAGAACCACTCATTTGCCGAAAAATGCAAAGCTATGCAAAGGGCGTGTATAGGTCAGGTATGCTGTCCCGCAGCCTTGTCCCTCTTGATAGACAGACAGAGACTCGATTCAAACATAAGAAGCGCCTCCTCCTCCTCCTCCTGAAATGCGTGATCGTTCCCCTCAACCACCAACTCCTTTAATCTCCAACATTCCCAATTCGCACAGTCCAAGAAGCCTATTAAACACCAAAATGCAGCTCTCTCTCCTCCTGACCGCTTTTACTGCCCTGGCCACCCTCCCCCTCCACGCCATCGCAGCCCCCGAAGCCATTCCCGCCCCCGCCGCCGAAGCCATCCCCGAGGCTGAAGCTGAAGCAGCAGCCATGCCCCAAGACCCCTCCCCAGACGTCGACCAGTGCGACCACTCGTATCACAAAGTGGGTTCTGGCTGTGCGCCTGGGAATAAGGGACGAACTAGCTGCGCTGCTGCATTTGGTAGTGTGGTAAGTACTGACTGTGCTATCTAGAAGAAGGGGAGGAGGTGGAGGTGGAGGTGCTGACGGGGCGTACAGATCTACTGCGGCGGTAGCGGACCCACTTGGTCAATTATTAACAAGTGCCAGAATGGAAAGTGTAATAACAACTGTGTTTGTGTCTGAAGAGGTTCATGGAGGATTTGTTACCCACACGAAGAGGAAAAGCTGGGTTGTTTGAGTTTGGAAGAGTGCGATCAATGAGCTTGCGGGTGTATTGCGACGGGCGAACATGTGGCGCTCCTTTTTTTTCTTTCGCCATTTTGGAGGTTGATCCTTCGAGACTTATGTCTTGGTAGCTATCCCTTTGGCCGAGAAAACATGTCTTTTTGTAGGTCCATTCTAGATGTCTTAAGTGATTAGCTTTGGCGAGGAATGGCCCTGTCGCTTATCTCAGACACGTCGTAGTTGTCTTCTTCATAAGTCCATGTAAAGGGAATCTTCGCTCTATCAATCCTCATTCAAGACATGAGCTGGCTAGAAACAGTCTCTTAGTACTGAATCGTTTCGAAATCGTCGTTCAAGGCTACAAATACACGGCATAGAATGAAGTTACAAAGCCATGAACCAGCATGAAAGCCTCTGCTTACCTGCTCACCTTGATCACTTTGTCTTTTAACTCGTCGCTACAATCCTGCCATTCAAACGGCTTGTCAGGGAACCTAGGCGGAAGATGATGCGACGAGTCGAAGCGCAATATCTTGCGATCAATCAGCCTACACCTGGTTCTTTAAGTTGTCAATGAAATTGACATAGTCTAGGAGCCGACCGCACTTCGCCCAAATGCATCACTATCTCATCAATGAAAGCGAAGTTTTATCGAAGATATTCAGATACTTGCCTCGCTCAAGTCCGCTATGAGTGGGACTTCGTAATATTTCATTGCTCTTCGCGTAAGGCATTGCCGCCGAGGCTATCAGGCTTTTAATCCTCTTCGCAGCCCCTTTCAGGTGGAAGCATGTTGAGGGTACCGGCGAAAGAAGTTAATTCCGACGCTTTTCTATCATATAATGATGAGAATGGCATTGTGTAGTGCCCATGTACGGGGTAAAAACGAATTGCGCTCGTCAGCGTGGTTAAAGGCGGGCGCTCATCGGGTCTCTATGCGTTCTTCATGGTCTGCTTCTTCCGTCGCAACATTCGCTTTCAGTCTCCCCGCCTAATTGACGGGAGAAAGAAAGGTCGAGTTATGTAGTCTGCGACGAAGGTCACGATGCCTCGGTACTAAAGGTTAAAAATAGCTACGCATTTTTCAAGCCAACGCCGCAAGCAAATTTTGTCGAGATACAAGCGCTGTGAAAGCCATTTCATCATTTCAAAGAGAATCTCTACGGCGATAGATAATTAGCATAAGCATCTTTACCAGTTCATATTAGTCTACTCATCCATTATTACGCTAGATCCTGATGGCAATCTATAGATTCAGGTCAGGTAAGGACTTCGCGGTCACACTTAACAGGGCAGTCAAGAACTACGTGTCTATAGTGATTGCTTGCTCTCTCGCAATCCTCCGAAAGCCATTTTGAGCTGCATCTTCATGACAACAAAGTCACCTCGTGAATATACGCCTATAGAGTAATTAAGTCAAGAGTAAGCTAGTTTAGAGAATAGTTACTTTATAGCATGACCGTTCCCTCCCTTGCGCTCCCCATCGGTCAAAAACACCATATTCCCAAACCCTTGCACCTGACCATAAACCACCCGCTGAATTCTCACACTCTCACACTCAGCTTCTTCCCTCCGGTTCAACCAGTCTCTATACGCTTTGACTGCCTGGAGCGCAACATCGTAAGTGAAAGGCCCACTTGTCATCCTCAGGCGCCGCTCTATATTGAAGCTATAATTTTCAAAAACATAGTGTTCTTCGCATGCTGCAAATTGCTTGCCCAATTTGCCGCCCAGATCTTCGATAGCATTATTAATGAGGATCCGATAGGCGGTCCTGCGGATTGTTGTTACTCCATCGCTCTTAAGGAGGAGGCGAAGACCTTGGGGCCTGGAGTTGTTTATGTCGTATGCCTGCCGCCCTTCAAGGAGTGTGGTGTTAGTGGTCCTGAGGCTATTAGTCCTCTGTAAAGTCACTTGTTCTAGCGTTTGGCTTGAGGCTTACAAATCTACATTATCAGCTGTCCTGTTGATCCCGGCTGCCTCTTCCTTGCATAAGTAGAGTGGGGTGACAAGAGCGGAGGTAAATGTTGTAGCCAAAAACGCAAGAAGGATTGCGCTAATCACAGAGCGTGAGGTTATCATTGAATGATAAGCGTCTACGACGACGTAGTTCCGTCGAGAAACTCCGCAAGAGCAGAGCAGAGCTGACGATATAGCGAGAGATAAATCCAAGTCTCGCTGTGTGTCCGAATCATAACAGATCCTTCTATTTGCGCTGTAGTGTGCTTAAGAAACAAAAGTGTTGGTTGTTGGCGTCAATGTTGGAACATGTCTTATCCGAGCGAGGTGGCTACACGCCTACCCAAGATGGTGTCGCATCAACTCTGGATAATATGCGGCTACCAGCAATGGACCTGGCTTTGACGCTTTCCTGGATAAACTGTGGTCGAAGCCGCTAGTCCATCGATGCACTAAGACGGTCGTTCTTAGCAGCATAATAATTGACAAGCTACGCCACTATATACATCTGAATTGAATCGCATGTAGGAGCTATGTAAAGAGAGTAAGGCATACCCGATTAGCCTCTAAATACTGCGTCACGAGCCTAGGAATTTACTGGCACAAAAAGGTGTAAGAGATGGTGCAAAGACCTGCAAGAGCACATTATTACACGAATCCTAAATGTGTTTCCCTTCCTTAGGTCTCTTAGAAAGTCGATTTCTCATAATGTTCGTCTTTAATAACGCGATTAAACCGTTGGTTGTGCTAAAGATCTCAACCCAGATTCTAGTGTCCTTTGGATTAGACGTGTTACCCAACCCTAAGACTAGTGTTTCTACAAGCCATGTAAACTTGTCGAGTTTGAATCAAGGTCGTCACAAAATTTGATCAGACAATAGTGAACTCGGTGGCCGAAGGACCTTCAAGACCCTCAAATTCTGTCATTCCCTCAACATCAAGCTGGCCAAGTCCTATACGGCTGTATGTATGACGCTCTCCTTCTTCAGCCTTAAGAATCAGACACCAGTTCGATTGTTCTACCGATGCAACTGGTGCACAGAGACCTTCGATAGAATGCCTGTCGCAGGACTCATCTGGATAGAAGAATCCTAGACCACGAAAAAAGGTGGCTGAATTTGATTGGCCTCCTTGTTGTCCATATTCGGGTTCGCTACCAACAAGTTCCCCTTTAGCTTTAACTAATCTCTCCCCACAAGTTCTGATCCGAAGGAGGTATCCTTTGGCTCGAATCGCTGCAAAGGTTTCTTGACTTGACAAGCTTCGTACAGCTGACTGATTGATGTCGTAATCGATTATATCGAGTAACGGCTGTTTTAAGACTTCCTTTGGAACATCTAGGCTCGGTATTACGTGCGTATATGAAATGAAGCCCTCAATCGAAGCCCATGACCACGATGGAGCTCGGTAAGTTTCCGTTCTCCGTGCAGGAAGTTCCATTGGAAAACCTATTGTTCCACCGGCCACCCACAACAAACCGATATGTATATCACTTCTCCAGAGCCCAGCGATGTAGTCATCCTTGACCGAAACAGCCATTTTGCTGGCAATGCCTGAGATTGCAACAAGCTTGTCGCTTGGTATGGTCAGCTTTCGCGTTGTGAAGTCCATTACGGAACGATACCAGAAACCATAAGCTTCTGTTTTCCGGAGTCCAGGATACAATCCTGTGCCATTAATGATGCCTTGTAGATGACTCCGGTAATCCTGTAATTGGTGCGGCATTCCCGGAAGACCCTGAGGGTGTGCTTCTACGCCTAAAAGGTTGCTGCATCTCCAGTGTACCTGATCTTTTTGAAAACCAATCGTCCGACATGCAAGTATTTGCTCCTGCAAGACCCAGGCACGCTCATGAAGAGGCAAGCCAACAGTCATACTTTTACCAAATATCTCTTCCACGTCATTTGCATGTCGTTGAATTATGCAGAACCTGCCGAACACTTTTGCCATGCATGGTTTGATGCCCAAAGCATTTCGCGGGAAAAAACACCCTTTGCTGCTGTCCTCAGCAGAGTCAGCCGCAATCGTGACGGTTGAGTTGCCATAGGTATCGCCCATTTTGGCCGATTCAGCGATCCAATCCTCTTTTGAGTCCTGTATAATGCAGAGGGAGTCAATCCAAAGATATTTAATGCATACGTGACGACAGACAAGCACAGCATCTTTGAATGTCTTCGGTAGGATGGAATCCTCAATGCAAGTCTTTCGTGACTGTAAAGTGTCACGTTCAGTGGTCAACGGCGGATGCTTTCCCCAACAATGGCTTAACGTAGCATAATGTCCTCGTAGACCCACTCCTGATATAAGTCTACAGATTTTGCCGTTCTTGTCGCCAACATCAAGTACTCTGGTCGGTAGATATGGGTTTTCATTAAGCACTTGCCGGCACCTTTGATGATACTTTGAACAGTGTTCCATCCATACACGTAATAGACGAAAAGTATCCTCAGATCCGGTACTATCGTCAGCGATGGATGCCCAATATCTATCAGAGTCAGAAAACCCCTCTAGTAGCTTCATTTAATATTAATCCATAGCGGGGATAAGCATCATGCTCACCACCCAAAGGTTCGCATTTCAAATGTCCCTCAAAACTGGTATTGTAACCACCGCACTGTACATCGATTCGATATTCGTCTCGCTGATCGCCGCTAAGAGCGTCTTTTGTTTGATCTCGCCAAATGAAAAACGTAATTGGATTCTGCATCAGTAATGAAGTATCAGATGGATGCTCACAGTCCATCAGAGCAGCCCACGCCAGACCGCAGATATTACAACCGGACTCTGCGCTTATCCGAAGATTCTCAGCACTTTTGTGATGCTCTATGCTTAGTCCCGCTTTGCCTCCATCAGACTCCAAAAATGTGGAGTCCCATAGCGCCGGCGGCATTTGACCAAGGTCATGACATTGTCGGCAAATAATCATACTGACACTATGGAGTCAGGGTTTGTTGGTATATAACGATAAGAATTCACTTTGTATAACATGCGGCAGAAGAGGGTTACTTCTAGGTCGAGCCAACAATGAATTTGGTATCGACGTGACACCTGCGAGAGAACTGGAGTTCTTCACCGGCCGCTCAAGAGCACAGGGTATGTTCAAGACAGGAGGATAAAATTGAGAATGAGTCAATTGCGGTGAAGGACGCTGTACTCATCAGTCTGTATGAGACAAATGCAGGTATGCATTCGTTCTGACGTGAATGAATAGGAAACAATGAGGAAGAGTCAAACTCTCAGTCTCAGTTTAGTGGAGCGAAGATGGAGAGGCAGAGCGGGGCGCGTGTAGATGACGGTGGCGATCGTTAAACTGGTCTGTCCCTGTCTCAGCTGGACGTCCTATGACAGATGCAAGGTGCTCTGGGGATGATGACGGTATCATGTGGAAAGAAGAAGGAACTGAATCAAAGCGAGAAGAGGGAGTGAAAAGGGGGGGAGGGGGAAGGAGATGCCAAGACGGTGAGTCAGCTTCAGCGGGGTAAATGCCAAGACTTGGTTTGGGGGTCAAATGGATGGGTACCAACTCTTTGACGGCAGGCGCAAATGATTGACCACGAGCCTTAGACAAAATATCCCACGGTACCTCCTCTCATCATTGCCGTAGAGAGCGCGATGGCAGTTTCATCTAGGCGGAGCAGGTGGTATCGTGCCAGTATTTGTCCAGAGATGAGAGTCCCTTCTTGCACAAGATTATTCCGTACCTCATGCTAACTCACTCCATCACTAATAGTAGAGCTTGCCCGCTATCCTCGCCAAAATCACACAAGCTTGCTACGGAAGTTTGAACCACACGGAGGATCTTTCCCACCGACTTTCGTCTACGTGTCATATCTACAAACCGTAGCTAGCGGGAGAAGGACAGGATAGAGGGATATATGGCTTTCACCTAACGGTTGTGGTGACATCATCATTACGTGCCAAGACTGGCTCCGCTCGGGGATTTGCCCGGAGTCCTCGGGTCCGAGACTCCGAATGATCCCGAATGTGCGCATGGGAGCAACAATATAAAGGATGCAGCAGCACCCCAGCCTCGGAAGTGATTAAACCCACATCTGAGTCACAACAACGACATTGCCGACAAATCTGGTGCACGAGATTACTCGATACTAGCCGAGCTTAGACGAACGGCCTCGGAGCTTGCTTCAAACAATGCCATCTCAGAAGATACTCATTTGTGGTGCAGGGGTAGCCGGATCCATAGTGGCCTACTGGCTGGCAAAACATGACTTCCAAGTAGTCGTCATCGAACGCTCAAAGGCAGCTCAGAAAGCTGGTCAGGGGATCGAGATCGAAGAACCCGCATTGCAAGTCGTAAAATTGATGGCCATCCTTGATGAGCTCAACGAGCGAAGAACAAAAGAACAAGGCTTCCAACTCGTCGACGCCCAAGGTCGTTCCCACGGCATCCTAGACGTAGGCGGCGTCAGCCCCACGGGCGCACTCGAAATCATGCGCGGCGACCTAACACAAACTCTCTCCTCAGCCGCCGAGAAATTCCCCAACGTCACCTACCGCTACGAGACCACAATCTCCAGCCTCACCCAAACACCAGACCGCACCACCGTGCACCTTACGAACCGAGCCACCAACCCCCCCACCACCACCGAAGAATCATTCTCCCTCGTCATAGGCGCAGACGGCGTGAACTCCACCACCCGCACCCTCGCCATGGGCTCCCCGCAACACCTGCGCTGCTTCCACCCCGTCAGCGCCTACGTAGCATACTTCTCCATCCCAAGCGCGGCACACGACTGGCCGCGCTCGCAACTCTGCCACTTCCCCAGGCGGCGGATAATCTGGAAACGGCCGGTGGGACCAACGTCGCCCACGACATCCATCTACATCATCCACCCCACCACTGCCCCGAACGCGAGCTTGTCGGCAGCGAACGCGTCCGGGGATCGCGAGAAGCAGAAACGCGCCTTTGCGGACCTGTTTGATGGCGGCGGAGGCCATGGTGTTGGTGGGGGTGGGATGGGGTGGGAAACGTCGCGGATCGTCAAGGAGATGCTCGCGTCCACGAATTTCTACTCGGATGAGCTGGTGCAGGTGAAATTACAACGTTGGTCGAGCGGGCGCGTTGTTCTCGTTGGCGATGCCGCGTGGGCGCCTACCCCGTTCACGGGCGAGGGCAATCAGTTGGCTATCCTGGGCGCGTGGGTCCTGGCGCAGGAAATCGTGCGGAATTCGCATGACCCTGACCCGGTGGACGCTTTTGGGAGGTACGAGGCGAGGTTGAGAGGGTATGTGGAGGCGGCGCAGAAGATACCGCTTGGAGGATGGGCGCCGTATATTTTTGCGCCCAATACGAGGTTGGGGATTTGGTTGTTTAGAGTGGTCTTTTGGGTATTTGCGTGGGTGGTCGGGTGGAGGGTCTGGGGGTTGTTCAAGGGGAATGAGGATGGGCAGCTGATGCATCCTGCTTTTGACTTGAGGTTGAGGGGGGTGACGTGAAGGAGGCAAAGTGAGGGTCTGTCGATGGGATTCGTTGGCGGGTTCCAGGATTTGGAAGAAGTGGTAGATATATCATATTGTACATACATGGCTCCCTTATGTCGAGGATATGTATAAGACTCCTTCCCTCCAACTAACGCTCTAAGAGGTTCACCTCTTGCGCGTATGGATGCGTAAAATGATACGACTCCAAACTCATCGGTGTCTTACGATACTCACGACAATTTCATAAGACACATACAGAAGGAAGGCGTTGCGATCAGTCTTACAGCTGAATTGACAGAGATGAGTTGGGAATAATGTGTATCTGTTCAAAGCGAGCGGCAGTACTGGCAGTGAGGTTTCAGAAGAGCGACTATTATCGTGTTTAAGGACAATAATATCCGTCCTAAATATATCCTTGTCGCAGACCCTAAAGCTAATCGGCGCACTCTTTCTCAATTACTTAAGAATGCTTTAACTCTTCTGTCAACATCGCAATAGCACAAATCTATCCACACTTTTCACACACAATCACCTGAACATCCTAGCCCCGACGATGCTATCCAAAGCAGTTCTTCTCAGCCTAGCCTTTACCCTCCTACCTTTATCCGCACTCGCCCTCGCCCAAGACGCTTTCATTGTTCCTCAAGTGCATATCCCTAACAACGGCGATTATCACGGATTCTCCATCGAAGTCGGGCGCGCCGACATCCCCAGGTACTCACAACCTGCCGGAATCTGCTACGCTACGGTAGACTCAGAGTCGGCCCTGCAATCTGAGATGTCGTGCGGTTCTCCCACAGCGAAGGGGGGTCTTGTGCCGGTGCCATGGGGATTAAAGGTTACGATCCAACAAGCTCCGAGCAGGAATGCTACCGCTGACGGCGTGAATTTCATCTTGGATAGTCCACAGCTGTGAGTCACCCATTTTTTTTTTTGGAAGACAGAGAGCAACTCGGATACTAAGATAACTTTTTGTGTTAGGGGGAGTCACGGATGGCTGAGGTTCCCTCCTGCCTATGACGGGTGGCATTGTTGGTCACAAAGGTGTTATTCCTATGATGAGGACAGAGTAGTGCCGCAAGGTGGTCCTTGATAGCGTGAATATGGGAAGTCGAGGTGTTGTCGCGGAGAGAATTGTCGAAAAGTTGCGAATAGCAATTCTAGGGTTAATGGAATATCGAAAGTGACGATTAGATAGTGAATCAAAGTACGATTGGGCTTCAGCGTCTATCAGTAAGGTCGCTTAGAGAGACTTCCATCCGCAGGAATATCAGCCTACGGCCGTAATAATGATGGTGAGACGCCGGACCGTCGAGCTAAGCCTGCTGTCATTTCATCATTGGCCTGATCTCCCGGCGGAAGGATTCGACAGGGCTGAAGGATCTTCAGAGGCTGAAAGGATCGTGGCGATGACTTCCCCTGCATCATCAAACAGAATCCTACCAGAATCCTAACCCACCAGCGTTGCGAATAATAAAGCAACGTTTCTCCTGCTCCATGCATCCCTTCTACCATCGATGCGGGAGAAAGCCCACAGCGCCAGCGAGCACCTATCGCTCCGCACACCTCTGAGCACCGACTACGACCAGGACGCCCTACGTCATCCGCAATGGACCGCCCAGCCTGCCAACAAGGGCCGTCGCATCCCTTCGACATCGATTCCTCTCATGAGCGGAGCGTCCTTAACACCCATCCATGATAACTACCGCGATGACGTGGACGACGGCATTATTGTAGACAGCCTCAAGGATGCGAAAGACCCGCGCAACTGGACCAAAGTCAGAAGGGGATTAATCTTCTACATCATCCTCGTCGTCTCCGCCCTCCCGGATAATGGTGTCCGCCTTACTGCGACTCTTGCGCCGTCAATTGCGCGCCACCTGGACGTGAGCAAGGCTGCCGCGCAGGGTGTGCTGGCCGCAAACCAGTTCATGATCGCCGTGGGCGGGTTGGCTGCGGTCATGCTTTCGCGTCATTTCGGAAGAATGCCTGTGCTTTTCTGGTTCATGCTCGGAGCTGTAGGGACGAGTGTTGGGCAAGCTGGAGCGGGCAGCTTCGCCGGCTTCGCAGTCGCGCAAGTTTTTAATGGGTTCTTTACTGGTGTTGCGCAAGGGAACGGATTGCTTTTCATCACGGACATGTTTAGTGAGAGATGGCAGGATCTAATGATCACGCTCTGGTCTTTCTCCATTATTATTTCTCCATATCTGGGACCGGTCATAGGGGGTTTGCTTGACTCACTCATCTGGAGGTGGCCTTTGGGTCTGTATGCTGTCGTCACCATTTTCGAATGGCTAGGAGTCGTAATAGTCGGTCGGGAGACGTGGTACTATCGTGGCAACGACCAAGACGAACAGCAGCGCCTCCTGAAGTCACGGTCTCTACAACTTATTGGGGTTGCGCAGTGGAGGTCGCGGAAGCTACGACCAAGCTTGCTGCAAGCATTCATGCGATCTTTCAAGACCATTGCGAACCCTATCATCTTGATGGTGAACGTCTACTATTGCATCACTCTCGCATGGATAGTGCCCATGTCAAGCATCATATTACAACCTATCTTCTTCTACCAGGATTGCCTAAACAGAGGCAATGTCGAAGACACATGGGATGAGAACGAAGCCCACCGCATCGAATGCCTCTCCAGCTACCACGCCGTTCCAGGCGACAAATCAGTCTACTCGTTCAGCCCCGAAGCATCAGGCGCCTTCTACTTCACCCCCATCATCGCAGCCATCTTGGCCCTCCTGGTAGGCATCTCGCTGCACCTTCGCCATGTGCGCCAGACACGATCGAGCAGTCGCGGCGGCGCGGACGTCTGGTCATCGCCAGAGCGCAAACTCCGCCCCTTGTTCTTTGCACAACCAGTCCTCATAGCCGGCCTCGTCCTCTTCGGCATCTTCGTGGAGGCGAACAAGCACTACATGCTTGTCGCCATGGCCTGGGGTTTCTACGTCTTCGGCACTCTGATCGTTACCGCGTCCGTGGCGAATTATTTGAACAAAGCCTTCCCGCCACTTGCTGGAGAGTGTGGGGCCTGGTTGAGCGTTTCGAGGAGTGTTGGGGCGTTCGTCCTTGGGTTTGTGGTCGAGGGGACTGTGAAGGGCCCGGGGGACGGGCAGGGGCAAGGTGCTGAGAGGATGTTTGGGGTTATGGCGGGGATTTCGGGGGTAGCGTTCGTGATCATAATGTTTGTAATGGTGTTTGGGGGAAGACTGAGGGAGATGGTAAGTAGAAATAGTGCAGGTGAGATGACAGGGAATGAAGATCCTTGACAAGAATTTGTTGTCAAAAGTATTTCTGTCGAAAGGTACAGAGCTGAAATCACTGACTGCACTTGCGACTGGATGCTGTTGAATGCTGAGCCTTGGACAAAGCTCCGCCGGAGGTCTGTATGATTACTACCTCCTCTACTATCAACATTGGCTTTTTCAGTGTGTTTGGTCATTGCAAAGTCCTCGAAGCCGCCGCATCCTCCCCTCTCCGCAATGGGTACATCCAATTGTGCCACTCAGCAACGTGAATCTTGATCTAGGAAAGCGGGCGCAAAGCTGTGGCCCACTTCGACCGACCGAGGTGATGGGTGGAAATGCCGTCAGAGTCATGGTTGAATAACGTTTACTTCTTGCGATGGGCTTCTTTGGGACCAGTCTATATGTTCTTGCTCGTCCCGTGCTTATTGCTCTTTGGCCAAACGGGAAAACTAAACAATTGGCGGTGGCTGGCAAGAATTTGGTTCGATTTCACTAACCATAGTCTTCTAGTTGCAGGAGCTCGTAGGAGTCACAGATCTAACGATTGAAAAGTCAGGCGCGTTGCATGGTTGCCGAAATCAAAATATCTTGGACCCTGGAGTGATCGGTCGTGCTTTGAGCAATAAATATCTCAGATTCTTGCTTCCACTGCACCATGACAAATAAGTGCCACTCTAAGTAACGTGTTACTCAGCAATGTCATTTGCTATCAGGTGCTAAGTAGCATGTAGCAAATGAATGCCATTCAGCAACATTCAGGCAACCCCCTCCACTTCTTCCGCCAACGCAACCTCCACTCCGCCCCCCTTCCCATTCTCTTCTCGTCCACTCCCTCCTATACCTCCCCTTTCTCCCTGACTGCCACCACAAGCACTACCACTAGCCTCGCACCTCGGTCCCTTATAATGCCTCCTGTTCCCAAGTTCTCTTTAGTCTCCTCCTAGTTGTCCGTCTGCCCCTACCCTGCGGCCACTATCTCCTCCTACCTCACCACCTCATGCTCCTTTTTCAGCTTCACCCGAAGCCGCTAGATCGCCCTCCAAACGACGGAATTGGTCCCATTCTCGCATCTACTGACTCGCTGCCTCCTCCATCCATTGTCTACCCTCAGACTGACGCGCTTCTCCTCCTTCTCCATTTTTTTTCTTCTCGCCATCCCGTTTCTGAGCAAGCCTTCGTCTTTCTATCTCTTCTATCCATGATCGTGCTTCTTCAGAGGGCGTCCGAGAGACGCAGTCTCCAGCGGTGCATATCCACGAGCTCCAGCTTTTGCTTGCCTCAGTATCGGCACATAGACGGTCTCAGACTTGACGCAAGTGTGAAGAGGCAGCGTTCGAGACGGTATGTGCGCTCGTGGAGGAAGAAGATTGCAGAGGGCGCCGGAGGGCACGGCTGGGAGGGGGGATTGGCGGCCAAGGAATTGGCGCTGTTCACGACAATATCCTTCCTCTTGTCATGTGGGCTCTCCGATTGTTTGTAGAGGCCCAGACATCATGCTTGAGTCTGGATTCAGGTTGAAATGGAGAAGGTTGAAGGTGGAAGGGGCGGGGGGCGAGGGCGGCTAATCATCGGGTGTATTCTAAGTCTTAGCATTTAAATGCTTGGCATGTTTATATTGAGGTATCCATCACTTTCCTCATCTCATTCACTACCTCCAATCAACCATTATGCTCCGATCTGGATGCGGGGTCTCCTCATTCACTTTTTCAGATCTACTTTCACCGCCAGTCTCTCTCTCCTCTCCACGTCATGCTTCCAACTCCCTCCCTTTCCCAGACAACCCCGCCTCCCTCCATCCCCCTCGACTCGGCACCTCACGTCCACGCTTGGCTCGATAGCCTCTTTCCTCCATTCAACCCTGCAAGCAGCAAGAAGGCTGAGAGTAAGAAAAGAGCTGGTCGAGTGTACACTTCACCACCGAGCACGAAGCGACTGCGTCGAAGCTCAAGATTGGCTGCCACCGGCCTAGAGCCATCGCAGGCGCTAAAGAACGATACTGCTCAAGACACGGACCATTTCAAGCTCAAATCGACCGCTTCCTACAGACACCGACATAATCCAACGTCATATGAGCCTCAAAAGCAGCCTGCCGCTCGGAAGACAGATTTTCAGACCACCTCATCTCAGGTGACTGACGTACCCCACTACATCTCACAACCACACCCACATACCTCTACAAGCTTGCGACGAAGTGCAAGGCATCTTCACCCATCTCACGAGGGGCATTCCGATCGCACACTGACCTCACCGCGAGGACCAGTAGTCAGGAGAAGAAAGCGATTCGCGCAAACGCCAGCTCTCGGAAGTAAGGTTTTTGTCAACATGTCCGATTTCGTCGCTCCCTTGAACGTATGTCCGATCCAGCTGCTAAGGTACATGACGCTCAAAGCCAGCACTAATTGTTCAATAGCAGAATGCTGCGGTACCAGCAACGCCACCACGCTCCACGGCCCCGACCCTCTCATCGCTGCAACCTGCGCGCACAGATACTAAAACGGTCTCAAAGAGTGTCACAAAAGTAAGACTGAGGTTGCGAGGACATCGGTTGTTCATCGGGGAGGAGGTGCTAGAGAAAAACCATCCCGAAGAGCGCAAGAAAATCATGGATACATTGACGTCAGATGCGGGAACGGGCCTGGGGGAAGAGTCTGCAAGAGCATTGAAAAATGCATTGAAGAAGCACGATATCGACAATGAAGCCACATTCCTTGATTCTGTCCTGCCTCTAATGGCTCCCCGGACCGAATTGAATCCAATGCACGAATACGTGGAATTGAAGCTTGCAGCGGCACAGAAATCTGTGCAGGTGCCAGTGGGATTTGTTGCAGATAATATCGTGTGTGACTCAAAGGAGTACGAGGATGACGGCATCAAGGGAGCCACCAATGCCCGGTTTGAGGATGGCTTCCTTCCTCATCTGTATGCAGATCCAATACTCGCCCAGGAGATGAGGAAGCTTGATGGCATGACCAACGCCATCCCCGATCGAATCCTTGGATATGACAACGCCCTTTTCGAGCTACCTGATGAATTGAGCTCCCAAGAGGAGTATGCGGACAGCCTACTCGCCGTGAGCAAAATGATGCGGTTCATCTTCTTCCTTTGCGAGGGGAAGAATAATAACGGGGGCCAAAAGGGCAGCAGAGCATCAGGCGTGCAGAGGCGGCGCTTCTGTGGTTTCTGCCTTCAGGGATTATCTTGATCAAATTGGTGTCCCGGACATTCCGCAAGGCTTCGACCACCGCACTTATATCTTTTCCATGACTGTTGTCGACAAGATGGCCCTCTTGTGGATCAACTATGCATACAAAAACCCCGACAACCGCATTTCATACCACATGGACGCTTTGACCGGTGGCTATCTCGCCTTCGCCCATGTTGCCCAAGATCTGTCTTGCTGCATCCACAATGTCCAGTCATGGGCAGCCTCTCAGCGGAAGAGCGAACTACTGTCCTATCATCAAACCTTCCTCAATCATCTAGAATGCCGCCAACATGAGCAGATTGCAAAAAGTCAAGCGGCGAAAGCAAAGCGAGCCGCAAAGCAAGCCGAAGTCCAGGAACGCAGCAAGCAAAAAGCGGAGGCGAGCTTGGCGGCTTCCAAGACGAATGCTGAGAAGAGAGCAGAACGACTTAGGTTTCGCAATGAAAGGAAGAATTAGGGAATAGTCAAGGAAGCTGGCATCGGGCGCAAGGGCTCAGGAAAGTTTTCGGATCGCTCTATGCAGAGAAGAGCCAATTGATAGGAAGAACAATCATGCATTACGATCGTGCGATACCCATGATGATTTTCTGATAGCATGCCACTGTAAAATAAAGATAATTTAGCAAATGCCAGACCAAGCATAATTACTCAAAGCCGCCAGAAGAGATTTAGTGATCGGGTGGCGTTGACATACCCATGACTCGATGACAAGTATCTTGCTTGAGACTGACGCCTGTCCGAGAATATACTGTAGACTGAGGGCAGCTTCTTCGCCTGCAAGTGATCTATAGCCGACTTCGGTCCTGTTTCCTTTCGCCTTATTCTACATCTTTGCTGCCGTGTCGATCATAGGCCGACAAGGACTAATGGTCGAAAGTATCCATGTCAGTAGTTTCGTATCAGCAGGAGAAGCGACTATACTCGCCGGAAAACAGTAGAAATGAGGAAGAGAGCATCGGCACGAGGTGGTCGTTTAGATACAACATAAGGGATGCTAGAGCTCAGGTCAGCAAGTTGCGAATGAAAGAGCAGACACGGCAACGAGCGCCTTACCCCTGAATTGACGAAGTCACTAGCGTTCGCATGGTCTAGTATCCAGATTCTAGTCTTTTTAGGCGTCGGTTAATAAGTTGGAGGATGTATTTATCTTAAGAGACGATCTTTGGTGTCTGGAAAGGTAAATGGCTGGAGTATGTAGAGGCTAATGCATATCCTAGTGGGGAAGAGATAGGCATAGGAGCGACGACAAGGTTTTCTTTGCGCGACTTGACTGGAAGCGACAAGCAAGAAAGATAAAGACGGCGAGGTGCGCAGGTTGTTGATGGGGAGGAGATGGCGAGAAGGAGAGGAGGGCAAATCATGCTTCTGGGAGAGACATAGAGAGGTAGGAAAATCTATTGGTTGTATGCTATTCTATGTTGAGTGTAGGAGACTTGGTTGTGGGGTTCATCCTACTCTAGTACTTTGCTGTGCTATGCTGTTAGTATGGGGGTTGGGTGTTGACGGACTGCTTCTTTCATTAAAAGAATGAGGAAAGATATTGTTGATGTAATGGAGCGTAGAATTTGGTTGCATGCTTAGGTCATATCAATAATCGTCGAACCAAGTGGTTGGATGTGACGCTGAAATGTCGGGTCGAGATAGGTGTAGGTGCTGGATTTGGTGCTAAGATGTGGTCTTTGGTGGTTCTGAGAAATGTTGCTGGTGCTGGTGCTGGTGCGTGGTCTTCGCTTGTCCTGCGAGCGAATGATGTTGATTAAGATGAAGAATAGTGGCGTCAACAAGAGCCAAGGATGCATACTGGAATATGGCGCTGTGATGCTAGTCTTTCTTTCATTTGTCTTATTTGGAGGTTTCGTGCAGAATATTCAACCACCTTTTACCCCGATGCCTGCGAAACTTTCATCGACCTCCTTTGGCTCCTCCTTTGGCTCCTCCTTTTTTACGTCCATGTACATTGCCACCCGTACCGCCTGCCAGGTCGGTCATAGCTCCCAAGATATCAGGGTCAGGTGGCAAACTTCCCAGAATTGCGTTATTGAAGTTTGAAGAGGAAGGCATTTCCAAGCTGGATGAGATAGTGGGAGCGGCTGGCTCGGATTCAATCTTAGAATCTTGTAGCATTCGTTCTTCAGATACGCGGTGATCTGCATCACTGTCGTCAAGGGAACCTTAACGATGTTGGGTGTCACGTAAGTCACGTAGGTCACGTTGATGAGTGACACCTTGCAAACGTGATACTTGCTCCTTTAAGCGTATAAGGAATCGTAGATTATATAATAATTGTCCTCCTATATATAGAATAATTCCTTAACTTAATAATAATAAGAATATAATTATTAAATTATCTTAAATTTATTAAGTTATAAAGCTTAGTTAGTGTTAATACGCAAGCTAGTATTATACCTATTACTATTATAATTAATAATAATTATATTGCTGTTTCAACTTCGCTATTACTTAATTTATATTAGTTATAAGGGATACTTTGCTTAGTAAGTTTAAAGATTTTAAAATAAGAAACTATAATATATAATTTATTAATATAAAAGCTTTATTAATTAAAAAAAAGGTATAAAGTATTACCTATAATAAATATTAAAGTAAGAAATTTAAATCTTTACTATTATAAGATAGCTTATTGCTATTAGTTAAAGCTTTTAATAATTTAATAAATATTAAATAGATTAATAATATTAAGTAAAAAAATATAAATAATTTAGCTTAAGCTTTATTTATATAGAAGATCTATAATACTATTTGCTACTTCTTTAACTATAAAACTAGCTTTTTAATAATATAATAAAAAGCTTATAAAAAATATAATACTAAGAATAAAGTTGTATTAATTAATAATAAGCTTATCGCTATATAGACTATTAATGCCTTTAGATATAAAAATATTTAAAAATATAAATTAGAAATTAAAAAAATAAATTTCTAAATTATATAACCTAGGAGAAATAATATTAAAAACTTAAATATTTATAGCCTTTTAAAAAGGATTAATAGTAACTTAATATCCCTATTTATTTAATATAATTAAAGGGGCTAAGCTAAGTAAATATATTCTTACTATAAATAAAATAATAAATGCCTTTATAGATTAGGAGTATTATAATAAAAGAGGTATTTTTTATATAAAAGTTTTATTAATAAAGGTTAAAAGATATAATAAATAAAATAAGCTGCTAAATAATTAATATATTTAAAAGGACTAAAAGAAATACTATAGTTATAATCTTTTAAGTTATTCTATAAAAGATTATTTCTACTTATATAAAGAACTTTGTTTAAATAAATAAGAGCTTTATAAAAATATTTTAAAATAAATATAAAGAAATAAAAAGTTGTTAAAAAAGGTAAATAAAGGGATAAATAATAAGAAAAAGGATAAAAATAATAATAAATATCTTTAATATATTATCTCTTTTATATATTATTAATTTATCAATAAGTTCTAGCCTATAAAGGCTTTAAAAGCTAGAAGCTAAATACTATATAAGGAATAGGATAACTTATTATATATAGATAATAAATTAAATACCTATTTATTTTAGAAGAAAAAATATTTTAAAATATATAAAAAAGTTATTAATTATATTTTTAAAAGAATAGACAGTGTTTAGCTTTATATTTATAGAATTAGAAATCTTATACTCTTTTATAAAATTAATAATTATATTAAGTTTATTTAGCTTAATAATCTTTATTATATACTAGATTTAGCTTATAATCTATTATCTATTAATACTTTTAAATTAAAAAGAGCTTTTATTACTTTTAGAAATAGGAAATATATTATTATAAAAGAAGAAAAAAAGCTTATATAAAAAGATTATAAAAGTTATATTTATATTAATAACTTAAATTACTATAAGAAGCTTAAAGCTTTAAAATTATTAATATAGAAAGTTATTAAATATGCCTCCTAGTTACTTTAATATTAATGCCTAAGTTATATTAATAAATAAATAATTAAAGAAATAATAAAATTAATATTAGGAATTATAAAAAAAAAGTTTAATAAATTATAAATATATAAGATAGCTAGTTAATTATATAAGTTTTATACTATTAATAAGATATAATAAGAATATTCTTATATAGAATATTATTAATAATGTATTAAAAACAGAATTTAGAAGGGATAATATCTTTATATTATAATATTAATAGGGAGGAAATATTACTTTAACTTTTAAAAAATATTAATATTTATATGTTTTTACCTATAACATTATTAATAAGAAATTTAAATATTTCTTAAAGATTTATAATAGTTTACCTTAGATTCTAAAAAACTTTCTTAATATTATAAAGATTTAGAATATTATTATTTAATTCCTAAGAAGTAATAACAAGTTTTAAAGCAATATAATTAATAAGATATATATAAATTATAATATTATTTAAAAGGCAACTACTCTTTATACTTTTTATTAAAATAAAATAGTTAAATATAGCTTTAGTATATTATTTAAAAGAGTTTAAATAATATTATATAATATTAATATATATTAATACTTTTAAAAAAAGGCAGTAGCTTATATAATCTATACTAAAAATTATACCGCTATTAAAATAATAAAAAAGACTTTAATTAAAGCTTAGATTAATTAATATTTAAATATATTTTATATAAGGACCTTTAGCTACTATAATTAGTATTATAATCTAAAGTATAAAGCTAAATTAAATAATAAAAGGATTAAATATCAATTTCTTAATTATAATACTAAAAACTAATACTGCGTATAAGATTTAATAAAGAGGAAGATTATTATTATTATATATATTAAATAGGATAAGTTAAGGACTTATAAGTCTAAAAGGGATATAGATAAATACTTAGATAATTACTAAAATCTTATGCCTATAAATAATAAAGAAGATAACTCCTTAAATAACTTAGATAATAGTTTCTTTGCTTCTCCTATAAATAGAGATATTAGATATTATAAAGAATACTTTTAGAACTTTATTAAAAACATTAGATATGAATTTAAAAAGAGCATTAGTAATAATATAAAGATCTTAAAGATCTTAAGGAACTTAAAGAATTAAGAAAAAAAGCTAATAGGCTAAGATAATTATTATAATTTAAAACTAAAGATTTTATTAATTATAAGGATCTATATTTTAATAAAAAAGCTTATTGTCTTAAAGCATTTGCTATTAAGGCAATAAAGTTATAATTACTTAAATAAAATAATAATCCCTAAACGATTAAAGATACTTTAAATAGGCTAAATAAAGAAAAGTAAATTGCTATATATTATAATTAAATTAAAAAGTTAAAAAAGAAAGGAACCTAAATATTAAGAACTCTTTTTAAGGGTGTAAAAGTACTTTAAAAACGCTAGGTCTTTATAAATAAGTCTAATAACTATAGCGATATTATTAATTTTAAAAAGAGATAAATAGTAAAAAGCTTTTAAAATAAAAGTTAATATTAACTATAATAAAATTTACTTTTCTATAGTTAAAAATAAAGCTTAATAAATTATATTAACTATTATAGTTTATAATAATAAGATCTTAAAATATTTAAATATTATTATAGCTTTCTTAGAATCATTTTTAAAGAAATAATATATATAAGTAAAGCAATTATATATATTTTAAAAAAGAGGAGATAATATTATTTATAAATTAAATAAAGCCTTATATAAATTAAAATAAGCTTTAAAGGAGTAGTATAATATATTAAGGAAGTTCTTTATTAATATAAGATACTACCTTATTGAAAATAATAACTATTTATTTTAAAGTTTTAAGAAAAATATTATTATCGCTATTTATATTAATAATTTTTAAATTCTTTATAAGTAATAGTAGGAAATTAATATTTTTAAAGATTAATTAGATAAATAGTTTATATTAAAGTACTTAAGACTAATTAAAATATATTTTAAAATAAATATTATTTATAATTAAAGTTAATATATTATTTATGCTAATCAATTTAATTATATTTAATAAGTTTTAAAATAGCTAAATATAATAAATTATAAATTAATTATAACTTTTATAGAAAAGGGAATTATACTTTATAAAGTAGATAATAATTATAAATTATTAAAAAAATTAAAAGGTTCTTATTTTATATTAATAAAAATATTATTTTAATTTATAATTAAAACTTATCTAAATATCCCCTTTATAGTTAATATATTTATATAATTTATAAGTAATCTTATATAATATTATATAATAGCTATATAATATATTATATAATATCTTATAAGAATAATTAACTTAAGTAAGCGATTTAGTCTAGTTAATAGTAATAGTAGATTATTTATAGTATATTATAATACTTTTTTTATAGATAACTATAATATAAGTTAATTTACTAGTATATATATCTTCTTTTTATAAAGCTTACTAATTAGCTAGTAAAATAAACAATAACTACTTATAACTTATTTATTAATAGAAGCTAAATATATAGCTATTAAAAAGGTAGCAAAAGAAAGTATTTATTTTATAAATATTTTAATATTATTAAGAAATAATAAAGAAAAAATTTAACTAGTTAATCTATATATAAATAAATAATTAGTAATATTGCTTATAAAGAATAAGATTAATTACTTTAAAATAAAGTATATTTATCTATAATATTATTATATTTATAAATAAATTAAGAAAGGAGACTTAAAGATTATTTAAGTTTTATTAGAATAATAAGTTATTAATATCTTAATAAAACTATTAAGAAAAAAGAATTTAAAAATAGTTAAAATAAGCTAAGCTTAGTTTTTATAACTTATAACATTATAAGCAATAAATAAAATTAATTTAAAAAAGAGTATTAAATATTATATAAGTTATATAGGTTATGTTAATAAGTAATACCTTATAAATATAATACTTACTCCTTTAAGCGTATAAGGAATTATAGATTATATAATAATTATTTACCTATATATAGAATGATTCCTTAACCTAACAATAATAAGAATATAATTATTAAATTATCTTAAATCTATTAGACAAGGATTGCTATAAAATGATACAGAAGTTCTAGTAAAAGACCTCTGTAGGTCGTAATAGAAACTTAATGGCTCTTGTAAGTCAGTAGGCGCATTTGTCAACTGAGGCGGTGCGCTTTGCGTCGATATTGAGAGATGTGGGAAAGCTCGAGCTATGTTAATGTTTTTATGCCAGTGTCTATAAGCTTTAATCAAGTGGGCAACAACGTGCTGCTCCAGGTGATAGATCTTACGAAAGCAAGCTTTATAGTCTTGGAAAATTTTCTCAGCTAGAAGCGAACAAAGGCATAACCGCTAGAACATTATAGCTGAAATCATGACTAAGGTTTCCCACAATTTTTCTCTAAACATGATTTTATGTCTCTCGATTACAGAGCTCGCCCTACACTGTGTCATTTAGATTGTATTGATTCAAGTTATGATGTTGAATGACTTGTTTGTGCTTCTTATCGATAAACATATATGTAACCACTATATCTATAGTAGTTATAAGTACATTACTATAGTACTTACATCAGGTCCTATCACTATACACCTTCAATTGAGGACACATCATTATTAAGCAGTCATGAACAATATAATGGTCTATCCTTGATCTTAAGAAGCAAACCCTTGTCGCATGAACAGTTTGGCGCATCTGGCATGTTCGCGCTGGTCAGAATTCATAGGAAGTATACATCTTGTATTTCTCAAATTCTAGTCTCTATCAACCTCTTAGATGAGCAATCAACAGGGCGCGGCGGGTCCGCTCAATACAACACTAGCATACATTTTCAATCTAACCGTCTCCGCGTTCAATCTTTGGCTAAGCCAATATATTCGCGGATCGACGGCGCATGACAGAGGCCAGAAACCACTCAGCGACTTTGGCTTGATCGCCGGACGTCCAGATCTTGCTTATTTCCTCGACCTCCAATATGAATAGTGTTTGCGCTCATTCTCAGTCTTTCCCACCTGCTTCACTCCAGCGCAAGAAAAGCCTGAGACGTGCGTCATATGAGTCGTTGGCTATCTTCTGTTGTTGATCAGGAGGGCATTTCCTCGAGTGATGAAGTAGCGTACTTTGATCTCTATGTATTTATACTCGTCAGATCCTAGAATGTTGCGGATTCCTCTACTCTGGTGTTGTCGATGAGAATGAACCCTCAGCGCAAGAGCCTCTCTCCCAGGAGGACAGATCGCATCGAAGACGCGTGAGATGGGAATAGGGTGTATTCAGTTATGCACAACTGGCTGGCCCGCGTGAACGGCTAAGTATCAGTATTTAGAAATCACCAACCGCTTTGCAAAGCAACTCATCCACCCTTCATCGTTAGCGACCGTCCTGCTTCGTTGTGTCGGACAACACGTAGAACTCCGCTTCAATCATCCAATTTTTACCTTTTCCCGCATACAAGATCTCCGAAAGTCCGCTCTTCCTTCATCGCCTTGGCTGCCAGTGAAGCTGCGAGATCCTTACCTCTAATCTACGTGATTGGGCATCTCTACCTCTTTCTATGTCCTTGACTGTCACTGTTGTTGCCGAAATCCTCAGGCAGGGGCTCCTGGAAAGCTGTGAGGTGCCTTAACGTCCCTTTGCTATGTTCAATGCTACCACTGCGAATCCTGTACGCGTTGCGTGTGCTAGGAGAGTAGGGAGCCTTGGGGGAGGCGAGGTGAGGGAAGGAAGGCTTAGGCAAGACCAATCGGCCAGGGGTGTAGCCGCAGGAAAGATAGGAGCAAACGGGCGCGTCACCGTTCCTTCTGTTGAAGTAGATTTAGCTGCAATATCTATGCACCGTGCGCTCAACGTTCTTTGAGGCTAGTAGCATAACTACCTTGGCTTCGACGTAGCATTGCTCTTCTGTCGGGCTCAGGCGGGCGACCGAGGAGACTTGGCGCGAGCCTTCAGATATTACAACGAGGGTGCTGCACTGAGTTCAGAGCTTGAACTGTCACATTCCACAGGCGTCATTGTCTCATTGCAGGATTGAATGGGACGAGGGGAATGAAGGAGCAGGCCTGCAGAGCAAGCCCGCCAAGACTCATTTACGTGACCCGACTGCGGTGATGATTAGTAAGCGTGCCCTATCAGATTAGCGGGCTCTTGTGGCTTGGCGCCCATCTACCGTAAGGTACGTTTACTGTGGTGAAGCTCCACATCTTTGCCATTGCCATTGTCATTGCCGTGGTCTTTCACTTCAATCTTCTGATCGCTAGCCTGTCGACCTGTAATAGCTTCTCATAGCTATAATTCCCATCCTGGGGAGCGCAGACCTGATAAAAGCTGGGCATTTACTACAATAGGTTTAGGCTACACATGTGACGCGCGATCACGTGCGAGGTCCGCATTTTCACCCCGCCGTCTTTTTCTCTTCCTCCGTCGATCACCTTCACAACCTTCGTACACCTGCAGGAGATATCCCAAATGACATGATCTCCAGACATGAAGCCGCAGAGAGCTGTCACGCGCATTGTAGATACGATCAACATCGATCGAAACGCGCTCGGCTCTCATCGCCGCACCATCTTGTAGGTCCCCCCCGACCCAGGGCAACATCGTTTCTCCATGCCTGACCGAATTAGCAGCTAAACCCTGAACCCTCTCACCTAAAATCCGCAAGTACTGGCACACCGAGCCTACAAAAGTACGCGTCCAAGCGTCCTCCTTCCCCTTGGAGTCCTCCGTTGAATGCTCCTCTACCATCCTCTGCCACCGTCCTTCCACTTTCGACTGCAAACCTCCAACGACACGCAGCCATGACCGAGCAAAGCCAGTCTTCATCACCATCGAAGATAAGCAAGCAAAAGAGGAAGCTTTCTACACTAGGCGGTAGCGATTACAAGAGTGACGATGCCTTTACGCAACTTCTAGCACCTGGCCCTCTAAAAGACTTGAGTTTAATTGGAGACCGTATGGTACAACACGGCCTGAAATTCGGGGATTTTGAGGCTTATGAAAGATACCCAGCTCTTCAGGAAAAGGTACATGAGATCCTCGGCGTGGAGGCAGTTGTTGACGCCCATCTGATGTCCGAGAAAAGGTTCAAGAACGTTATACTCGAGTCGGCAGAGTTGAATGAGGCAACCTTTCTCCAGAACGTATGGCCAATCATATGGAAAGATGGTCACTTTGCGAAGAGTCCTGAGGGTGATGTTGTTTTCAAAGACTGGAGGTTGAACGAGCATGTACAAGTTACGATGGACGTTGAGTTTCGAGGCACCCTGCTGCCACATCGTTATGCAAACAAAGGATTCGAAAGGGAGATGGAGACAAAGCTGAAAAAGAGCGATAACATGAAGAATTCGCGGCCTGATTACACTGTCGGGTGCTCAATACGACGGATCCCCCCCGCCTGCAGCCCAAGCAAGTGATCCCATCAAAAATGCATCAACTCCTGACGATCGCTAAGGGTCTTTACCATCCTTTCCTAATCATTGAAGGCAAATCCGCCCAGGGATCGGAGCTAGATGCAGCGCTCCACGCGCGTCGTGGAGCTGCAACTCTGGTCCACGCTGATCGACTTGCAGCCGACATCCTTAATATAACTCCCGGCAGCGTGTCCGGCACGGCGTCCATTGCTGCGCGCAGTGGCACTTCCACAGACTGGACCATAGTTGAGGGAACAAAAGACCTCAATTTCAACTCTACGTACGAATCCCAACAACACTCCCAAGATGGCATTATTAGCTCTACCGCCGATCTCACCAGCCTCGTCTTTTCCGCAACCATCATCCCAGCCTGTGTCACGTTCTTCGTCCACTGGTATGAAGAAGTTACATATGCGGATCAGAGCAAAGAAGATTTCTACCACATGACTCCCGTTCGCTCCCAGTCGAACCGGGACCCCGACAAGCCGCTTTCCAAGGTTCGGAAAACTCTACACAACATTGCGAAGTGGGGCTGCGGCGATCGTATCGACGACCATCTCCGGATCTGGAAGACCCTGCCTGACTATATCGATCGGCACAACGAGGATCAACAATGTAACACCAGCAATGCGAAGAAGCAGAAGAAGGGGGTCAATGAGAAGAAAGCTACGAGTGGAAATGAACAAGCGATGATGGAGTTGGCATCTGTGGAGCTTGGAGACGACACATGAGATAGACAACGTTTATCGCAAACAATGAATATCTCCCAAAATAACGCGCTTATCGAAACGACTTGTATTTCCATATTCAAACTGCGACAAATTACTTATGAAGCCCAATGCCCCCCCCGCCTCCAACATCCCACAAACCAAATGAGAGACCGCGCATCCCTATCTCTGATTCATCATCGCAACATAGCACTACATCCCCACCGCACTTCCCTTCACACACTAACATTATCCCACAAAACAACACAGGAATTACTAGATATCTAAAACTCCACCATGACAAACCTTACCTTCTTCAAAGCTTACAATAATATCCAGTTCCGCAATCATAACATCCCTCCCTCCCCCTCCCTGCTATCCCTCTACTCACCCCCCACGCAGAAGAGAAACATACTGATCCCTCCAAGACTGAAAGACTCAGCAATATACGTGTTTCTCAAGCGTAGCCTTTATGCTGAGTATAAGTAGTCGGGTAAGCAAAGTATCAAGAACGGGGAAAGGGTAGGGATAGTGTACCAAGGGGGAGGCGGCGGGGGTGCGTGGTTTGCGAGGTTTTGGGTGATGGTAGTGGGATAGTAGCGGGGGAGGGGGAATGGGGAGGGGTGTAAGCATTGATTTACGCTGGGAGAGGATATCGGGGGTATGGTCATTTGGGTGATGGATGCTAGTCTTGATGGGGATGTAAATTGCAGTTTTCGATGTTGCGGTGGGGAGGTATATAGGATAATGGCCTGCGGGAAAGGATAGATGCGATGGGATGGGATAAGCATACTGATTGCCTCGTTGCGGGATGGATGGTATGCTGTGCGCGGCGATGCGCCCGCAGAGTCTATGTCTGTGGGGTATGATTTTCTGATAGACTGTGGTCGCAAAGGCAATGCATTTAGGCCGCATGGCGAGCTATGATACGAGAGAGATGATGTGCAAGAGGGTTTGAAAAGGGGAAAACGGAGACTAATGCATGTTTTTCGTGTTACATGTATATTAGAAATAAGTGAAGAGCTCTCTACTGAGCATGATTGGCAAGCTGTGCATGGTTGTGAATCCCCGTTCGCTAGTCAGCAGCCTTCTTCACCTTCATTCACCTTTTTCTTAAGCACGTTCTTATCAAACCATGCCTTGTATTCCGTGGTCCCCCATTCGATCAGGAGATGCATCTTGTGCGCGAGCTCCCATATACCACGACGCGAACCGGTGGAGCCGAGATCGATAGGGCCAAGCATGATCTGATATCTACAATCAACGAAAGCTCCCGAGATGTCATGAGGGTGAGTGGGACGAAGGGTTGACTTACCAAGCGGGTTGCTTTTTCAAAAAAAGGTAGCATGTCCACTGGTGGCGCTCAATTGCAATCCCAGGCATGGGCATCGTCGTATCCCACCCGTGGCATCGTCGTTTTTTCAATCCGGCAGATGCCCAGACGGCAAGCTGAATCCTCGGATCTGGCATGTTTGCTTTCTTCATTTCGACGTCTGTAAAGATTGGGCATTCTTGGAGATATGACGTTGTTTGATTCACGCTGCATTCATAATGGGAGAGAGTACTGAAGAGCGACTCTAGCTCAGCGCTTTCTGCTGGTTGCAGGGACAATGTGAGGCACCAATCGATCATTTTCGAGAGGGCACGATCCTCGCGCTCGGATGGCGTCTCGGAAGCGGCGCCGTCTTCATTGAGCTCATTGATGAGTTCCTTTTTGGTGCCGTCGTTGATAGTAGGACGAACTTGGTTTGGATTGATGGCGCAATTTTCGCTTCGAGATAGTCAGCCCTCTGCATTTCCCTCTGCGGCATGCTGGATGAACGTACACATTTACCAACTTCCAAGCATACTCGTAATCGAAGAATGTAAATTCTCTAAGAAAGGCCGACACCGTACTCCCCCATTGCCGTTCATGAGCTGACACAGCATCGTTCCACCGCGCTTCTTCAAGTATAGCGTCTACTCTCTCCCTGAAGTTGAGCAGCTTGCCATGCGTGACTGGAAATGGAACTCCCGTAGCGGAGTATTCGTGAGCTTCAGGCGCTGGTCGGCTCTTTCGAGGGCTATCCGCAACTTGTGCATAGTCGTCCTGCAAACCGTAAGCTTGTTGATACTTGCAAAATTGTAGAGGCTGACCTTCAATTCACGAGGTATAGCATTCCTGCGCACAGCACTGAGTTTTCCATACAGATTCTGCACTGCCTTTGGAATGCCACCTTCCTGCCTCAACTGCGTCATGTCGCGTATGAATACTGGCGGATCTGCCCTCTTAAGGTGGGTCATGGTCAAATGCCCCAATTTGAATCGCTTGGACCAATCTTGGCCTGTGTTTCTCTTGGGAGAAGGCTGCCTCGACGATGTGCTAGTAGGTGGGGCGAAAGACTCGACTGGGACGATTGACGGAGGGTGTCGATGAGCTAGGCCGCGAGCACTGGTGGCTGCGCTCAGTGAGATTGGGCCTTTGTATCCGGCTTCGTATGCTTCATCCTCCTCCTCGTTCATCGCCTGCGCATCACCCTCTGCATATGAAACTGGTTTCTTCTGCCCAGAGCGAAGGCTGCGCGTACGGCTTATGCCACCTTCCTCGTTGCCCAGAGATGACTGAGCATCTTGTCCCACCGCGTGTACATTTTGCGCCTGCTGCTTTCCTCCACCGCTTCCCGATGTCTCCTGTGCACGTCCATCCATGGTCTTTTTCTTTGGGGGCGCCATCCTTCGAGCCCTTTTCGTGGGCGGTTCCTCTTGCTGGTCTGCTGAAGGACGGTAGAGATGTTCAGGGAGACGGACGTTGGCGGAGATTTCTTGGAGGCCTTGACGCTTGGCTGATGAGCGCAGGTTCATTCGATGCTTGACACGCAATCGGCTTGTAATGCTCTGCTTGTACGACGTGCCCTGCTCTTGCTGGAAAGATGTCTGGTTGATCACATCGTTCTTCCACTGGTCGATTCGGGTGAAAAGATTCAATGTGTCGGAATGGTTCATTGATGAGGCAGGAGGTTTTATGCTTGGAGAGAATGACGATAGCCCGGATTCGATTACCCGATACGGAGCTTTGTTGCGCGCTGCTGTGAATGATGGTTGACGAGATTTGAAAGAGTGAATTGACTTCCATTATTTTGTTTGTAAACTTGCCAAGACTTGCCAAGACAGGTCTTGCCTGAAGGAGCTTAATAGCTCCGGACTTATCGATAAGCTTCACATGCCTCCCAGTTGCTTCATCAACAACCATCAAATGGAATGGTTAGACTTTTCATGGCGTCGTCAGCTTGGGGCTCTCAAAGCAGTCAAAGCTTACAGCTGGCAACTTCACCTTGCCCCTTCCGAAGTACAACAACGCCAGTGAAAGCCCTTGCTGCGGGCAGGACATTACTTCATAGTAGGATACCGGTTCAACTTTCAATTTCAGGACGTGCTAGATGTATCAGACTAGCATGATTCGATGTCTCTCCGCTTCCATCTCCTCGCTCTGATCACGATCCGCCGCTACCTCAACTCTAGCACCCCTAGCAGCGGCAGCACATCCCCACGAAGCCTTCCCCTTCCACTATCCAAAGGCGGCGCGATCTAAACCCGCCACAAGCCCCTCCGGATCAATCAACCCAGACGCGCCTCCTTCCTTAAAGTGTCTATTACAGTTCGCTAATTACTTACCTCAAAAAGTTCTTCCTGTCGTATGACGACGAGCATTCTTGAAAACCCGTTCCCGCCCCTGCCTCCGCAGCTGGTGCTGTTGGGAAGGGAAGTCCTGTCCTGCTTACTGCATAAAGGGGCTGGTGTTAAGGTAAGCGTATCAAGCATATCTCCAAGGCACAAACTGACACGTTGTAGAATTCGGCAGTGAAGTTGCCGGCTAGCTAGCCAGCTATTGATATCACTCATCGTGCCCTAGGCCACAATACTCGCTTGTTCCTGAGAAGGTCGGGCGAGAGGCTATGCTTGATGCCCTCCGAGGTTGAGTGGAGGGGAGGCAAGGACAATCAAGGCGCCAGGTGAGCTTTTAGTTTGGTGATAATAATTGTGGGAGGGGGCCGGGGCGGTATTGAGATGCTGTAACACCCACCCACCGGTGTTTGTTATGGCTCTGAGGGTTTGCGCTCCTGTGGCGATGGCACAGAACGCGTGGGGTTTGTAGGCGTGCAAGGGATCTGCGACCTTGAGTGGCGGAAAGGGCTGCGGAATGGCCTTCAAGATACACTCGAAGTGGCATGCGGGCTCGATGTACTGCTGCGTTCTCTCCGTAGCTGCTTCTACTACTTTCTTGCTTCGTCTAGTAAGCTGACAAAATATGCTGCCCGCTCCATTTTTCCTCCTCGCTTCCGCCCTACTTGTCTCGCACCTTTTACTTGTATCAGTGTATACATAGCTCTCACCAATCGTGTTTGTCGTCCATCTCAGAATTTCAAGTCGTTGTTTCGCCTCATTCCAACGTGCTTCGCTTATTCTAAAACGCCTTGAAGCCTCAAGTCTCCCTTCTCTACGTCTTGAAGGTCTCTCCGCCTTTCTTCGTAGAGATCATTCTTATCGGCGTCCTCTTGACGCGATCGTCTTTCAATCTCTGCTCTCGTCATTCCACTATACTCATACTCATCAATAAATAAGAGAAATCAGAAAGCACAACCCCATTTGGGGGTCGCTGTCGTAGCGGTCCATAGACACAACGTTGTATCTTGGACATCTTACATCGAGGATACTCTTCAGATAGAATTATACTAGTCATTTAGGCGAGAATCCGACTGATGAGAGGGACACTCTGAACATTCTAGCACAACCCCTTTTCCGTTCTCCATGATCATCTAGTGTACTGGCTTCTGCTATAAATTGAAGAATGATGTTCAAGAGCTTGTGAGATAGACAATCAAGTGGATGAGGACTGACAGCCGGAGGATGATCCATGGTGACAAGGTAAATGATAGATTAGAAGAACAGAAAAGTCTGGCTCCACTTAGCGGAGTGAGCGTGTTTTGCACGTGAAGGTATTCCACCTTTTTGTTGAATACTTGTCCGCGAACTCGATCGCTTTGCAGGATCCTAGATCGAGATCAAATATGGACTTGGAATTGAGTGCTGTTGCGCCACGACTGAGTTGTGATCCTAGTGGTCTGGTGTTATAGTATTTTTCTAGTGATGTACGCGGCTGAGGACTCTGGTAGAATTCGTTCTTCTGAGGATGGGGAATTCGCAAAGTGCGTTGCCACAGAATCTCCGAAGAAACGAACCGTGACTTGAGATGGGCGAACATTCCCTAGATCAGCGGCCCTTCTTTCAGCGCAGCAGGATCCTCCTTAGAGATCCCACTGGCGGCACATACTTGCCTCCATCATCAGCCACCGGTATTCTGTCGTCTTCATGCTCAAGAATGACGCCCTGCCGGCGATAGCTGCCGTTCCCCACCCTCTGCACCAAGAGCCAAGCGCTGAAGAACCCAGCCGAGTTCCGCCGCACGTGCATGAGCATCGCATAACCCGATCTCGGCTTCGCCCTTTCCATGCCCGCCAGAATGTGGCCGGCCGGCGCTGAGGGCACGCTGTCGAGATAGAGCTGGCCGGGCGCAGGTCCAGCAGATTTCCCCCACCTTGGATCGGAAATGTGGGATAAGCTGTAGCGAGGACGTTTCTCCAAGACCTTGACCGCGGCCTGCGATCTCGTTTGCCGGGGGGCTGACCACACGGCCATGACTGAGACAATTTCCAGCGTCTTTGATATCTCCAGTATTGCTGCGCGGGAAATGCTCTCGACGAAGATTTTGGCGAGTTTGGTGCGCTCTTGGTTCGCCTGGATGACGGATATTTCTGGAAGGAACAGGGGTCGGTTGGAGCCGTAGTAGCAGTTCTCATTGATGTCGCTGTATTGGGTCAGCCAGGACCAGGACGGGATCTCGCCCTCGCAGCGTCGGGCTTCTTTGTCTTGTTCTTGGGAGTTCCAGCAGAGTCCACGGATGGCGAGATCTTCAATGTCGTCGTCCTGTATAAGGAGGCGATTCGATACAGGATTCAGGGCGACTAATCCCCAGTGGGAGGGTATGTTCAGTTGGTAGAAGATCGCTTGGAATGCGTTTAAGACGTCCGTATCGTACCCGAGTTTGCGGCGCATATACTCCTCGCGTAGAATCTCGAAGCGGATGGTGTTCGTGGTCTCCATCGCTCTGCCAGCGGTGCCAAAGAGGGCACTGTCTTTCATCTCCCATTTGGAATACCTTTTGAAGATGGAAGCATGTTCGAGCGGGTTTTCGCTGAACGTCCCAAGAGCACAGGCCATCACGACCTGCTCCTGAGTGAAGAAGAGGCATCTGGGCGAGCAGACAGCCTCTTGTAGTGTCCACCCTCTAGTAGACCATACAGAGTCCTTTAAAAGGCTTGTGATTCTCCGATCACTCCAAGCGAGCTGCATGCCTTGTACTCTGGCGGCGAACTCCACCTTTCGATTGACTGATATACCAGGTATCCCTGTCTCATCATCCTTGCCAAGGGCGCAGATAGTGGCAGAAGCGTTCGAGTAGACATTAGCCATCTCTTGAATCTGGCGGGCTTTGTCGCTTGCTTGATGTTGTTGAATGCAATATCGATCGATCCATAGATATTGGAACCCAAGTGCTATCGTGATTTGAATGGCGTCGTTAATGGTTTGAGGTAGCACGTTTGGTAAATTCCACTCTCGTATAAGTTGATGAGAATGCTGCGCTTGAGATTTGGTAGCTGCTTGGCCCCATACGTAGCTTAACGCAAGGTAATTCGTGCCGCTCTTCAAGGTTACAATTTTTCTCGATGAGCAGTCTATCAGTCTGGCGTTTTGAGGGTAGGGCAAACTTGACCTAGTGCATCTATGGTGGGAGGTACAGCAGTCATCGATCATCTCCCTAATCCTCTTGAATCGAATTGGCAGTGCTTCCAGAATAGAAGCCGCATCGTCGGCAAGAACTAGTGAATCTCGAGACACCATTCTCAGAATGCCGCCAAAGTTGTGGTCTTGGTCATTTGGTACTCGATAAGCTGAGCCTCTCCCAAGCGCACAGACAACTGATGCATTGCTTGGGACCTGCTCAGTAGTCGTCAAATCTCTGCACATAATTGAGGAATCATACGCGCGAAGATGATAGGGCTTAGGCTCGTCCTCCAGAGTAAGAAAGCCTGAAGGCGCCGTAGCCTCACGCCAAGAAGGTCTCTGGTTGCGATCGTCTCTCTCAGCCTCTTTGATCATGGCTTTGAATATCTTGCAAAGCGGACAGCGTTCTTTTGTGCGCTCACTTTGCAATGGATTGACCCTAAGCCCAAGGAAGTGTTTTTGATTGTTTGGCAGATCAAAAAGCGGTATGCCCTTGTCACCCCTTACGATGTGAGGATGAAGGAATATCGCCCTCCAGTCGATATCCAGACAGGCAGGGCAGATGTGAGAGTCAGCAGGACCGGGACTCTGCCTGCGGAACCATTCGCCAGGAGACACGTAATCGGCTGTAGATCTCTTGGGAGCTGGTGGAGGAGAGGGAAATGACTGAGATGACCAGCGGCGCTTCGGTGTAGAAGGAATCATTCTCGAAAAGCGGCCTTCTCAATCCTCACGCGCGGGGGCCTTGCCACCATTTGTGGATGCGAACGATCCCTTCTCGAGCACCACGACATCGCTTGGTCACCCTAGAAAGTCTCTGCTGTCGAAAATTAATGTCTCCCGTCGGCTGAACAACTTACTTGTCGATAGTTGAATAAAGCGTTGGAAAGGCGGGACTAGAATGCTGCCTGAAGGGATGTGGTCTTGGCACAGGGGCTGGGTTAATGGTGGCTGGGGGCCGCTGCAAGGTCGGCGGTAAGACTGCAGAACCACCAGTCCCTAGGCGGCTAATAAGGTAAATTTTCTAATATGACGCAGAAAGAGGGTGGTCAGGCTCGGGATGTAAATGCTATATATATAGTGGTCACACTACTAGTACTTCCGGAAATACCACGCTTAACCCCGTAACCACTACCTAGGTAGTAGTTATAGATCTTTATTATTACCACTTGTGTAATAGTTAGCATAATCTGATGGCCTGGCCCTCGAGGTATAGAGAGAATAAAAGAGGCAATAGTAATATATCGGTCTAGCGCAGCACGTCGAATAGCCTTTGATCCATGAAGTTGAAGTCTCGGAGGCCAGCGTCGTGCACGGCGGCATTCCTTAAATTCCACCAAACGATGTTCAAGTACCCATGATCTTGGTGTACTCGGAATGTTTGCTGAGGGCAGCACGATATCTCCTTCGTGTTTGGTTGGAAAGCGACATTATTCACGGGCCATCGAAGGTTGCGGGCACCATACAGCATTTCGTAGAGAACATCAATGTCGCTTTCGTCAAGGATTGGAAAGGTTATAGCCCAGTGGAAAGTGTCGATGACGCCGATGACTGGAGGTATCAAGATGAAAACGCAGAAGATCGTATCGAGTCGTGGTCGGGCTTCTCGCTTTCGTTGTTCTCCGAGAGATTGGTGTCTCGGATCCCAGGTCTCTGATTTCTTTCGTGTACACACGTACGGCATGAGAAAAAGGAAGCATGAGAGATCAATGATGCAGCAGCTGACGACAGTATGGTGGACGTGAACAAAGTCACATGGGTCGTATCAAATCACTGCTGCAGCTTGCGCCCATTCGAGAATGTGCTATCCCACAGAAATGTCTCGGACTTTGTTTCCGTAAAATCTCTCTTATTGTGCTTTTGTATGTGCATCTTCCTGTGTTGGCTGTCTCAGCTCGTCTGAGCCTTGACATGGTCCGGTCTTGACATCCTGACATGCAAGCGGGTTAGCCAATGGGCCGTCTTCACAAAATTGTATCTGTCTGGACCCATTAGCGTTCTGATTCAAATTTGGGCGTACAACCCGCCCTTTCTTTCTTTAAATTTGGCTCTAACATCTTAGAACTACCCCTTCCACTAAATTAGAAAGGCCCAATTTTCAACGCAACAAAAAATGGCAGAATACCTTCGCGATTGCCTCCATCTTCGGGAGATGGACTTCCAACGCCCAATCATTGCGACGGAGAGCTCATTGACTCTTTATTGGGCTTGTTCATGGCAGCACCAACGCCTGTTCTAGCGCTCATCCGACCAAAGTCAAGGATTGCAGCGTTCGTAGTTGCGGTGGTCTCAAGTAGTGGAATGTTCAAGTGCTGTCCCCGTTGAAAATGGAGAGTGGATCCAAAGACCACGTACCGGCGCATGATCTGAGCGCTATACAAAGCGAAGATCAGTCAAAGTCTTTCATAATCGCACGAGGCTGACGCCATGTGGAGCAAAGTCTTACCTCCAACAGTCGCAGTTGATCCAGAGTCCCACGACGATCTGTCTACTTCCCACGAGACCAAGAATCATTTGAATAATTTCTTTTCATTCCCACAGATTCTGCAATAGCAATGCATGCTCCGTGCCAACGAAGGCGACGACAATGCCTGTGCAGACAAGGGGAATGTACAATGATAATTGATTGAAGTCCTGCAACCTGGGTATCGTAATTGCCTATGCGCCACTTTTTCATTTCAGCGTAAAAGGCCATCGCCATCAAAGCTCACGGCCCTCACGAAGTTCCACCATGTGAGGTGTTCCCATTCACCAAAGCCTGCCTTGATCCACCACTCGGGCCTGGGTTGGTAGGCCCTTGATTATCAACTGACTCCATGTCCTCCTCACTTTCGTCTTCGTCATCGTTATCGTCATTATCATCCATCGCAGGATAGCTCCCCGCATACGACTTGTATCTCTCGTCGACCTGCTCCAGAGCCGCCCTCGCTTCTACGCGAGCCGCTGCTAATTTCGCTTTCTTTCGCAACCAAAAGAATTGGTCGAGCTTCTTTTGCCGTTGATCCATCGCCCTCTTCACCTTTCCAATCCTTTGTTGGTATGCCGCCTCGTCATCTTCCAGCCATTGTGCGTCTCTTTCCCTCAGCTCCCTAAGCGCGGCGGCCGCTTCTGCATCTTCCTCTTCTTCATCCATCGCATTGGCTTTACGCTTTCGCATTTCTGTGGTGATTTCGGCTATTTCGACCCGTGGGGTATATGAAGGGACTTTCCTGGACTGCATATGGCGTCTTACCTTGCTTTCGAATTTCAGCAAGGTCTCCTTTCCTTTGGCGGCCTCTGATGTTGCTGTTTCCCAGTCTATCTTCATGCTATCTTCACCTAACTGTTGAGACTTGCTTGATATTGACGAGCCGCCTGCAGTTATATTTGAGATGGAATTGCCATTGGGCTGTGTACGACTGCCTTGCGCTCGTACCATGGCCTCAGATGAGATGGGATTTGAGCGAAGGGTGTCTGCAGCGTGTGACAGGGTATGTGTAGAATTCTGCGGCAGAATTGAAGGGCTGTGAGCAGGACTTGAAAATTCGTTCCCAAGGTTGTTCCCTGTGGGGACTGTATCCCGGTGACTTAGCCCGCGACCGGCTTCTATGGATATGTTGCTCTCGTCAAAAGTCTCTTGTTCTGGACTCCAGCGGCGAGTGATGCGGCGTGAAATATTTGATAAATTCGGAGCACGAGGCTTTGGAGAGGGATTTGGAGATGACGATTGTAGTCGCAATGGTCTGTCAATACAGTCCTCGATGGATGCGTAAAACTTGTTGAAACGGTCGCCGACAATAGTGGCTAAGAATAACATACAGACATTAGCGTTATTCAGCTTGATTGCAACGTCTCGCAAACAACATACCGGCAGGTTCGTTGCTGTCTTGGGGGAACTCGTTCTCGTCACCGCTGAACACTGTGAGCGGCAGCTCCTCAAGCTCAGGAAGGTCCTCAAAGTCCTCTTCAAGTTCGTTACAGGAAGTGCTTATATCTCCTTGCTCTCGTTCTTCCCCGTCACGGCTCGACGTCTCTGCTTTCTCTTGACTGGCTTCTTCGCTCTGTTCTGTTTGCTCTTGACTTGTGTCGACTTCGGGTTCGGGTTCGGCTTCCACTGTGTGCTCGTCTTCGTCTTCGTCTTGACCTTCGTCTCTGGCTTCACTTTCGCCCTCGTTGTCGTCCTTGTTCTTACCTTCCGCTTCCTTAATATGGTCCGTGGGTTCTTGCCCCAACTTGCTCTGGTCGTTCTCTTCCTCTTCCTCCTCTTCTTGATCTCCGTCTTCGTCTTCGTCACTAGAGGATGATGCAGAGGATATAGGAGGTAGGATCACGGGTTGATTGGGATCTGTCGGTGGCTGGGGACGGGTGATGTATTTGTAGAGTCTTTCAAACTGCTTCACTGAAGGTTTGTTGGCTTTGCGATTTCCCCTTCCATCCCACCTTTCAACGGTGGCCTTCAGAGTCTCTTCGATTGCATGTACGCTGTAGCTCCTTCTGTCTAGTTCAAGAACAACCTTTTTGATCGCAGAGAGGGTGTTTGCGCCTAATTTGTCTGGAGCCTTTTTCCACTCGGGGAAAGCACGTCTGAAGGAGATGTTCTTGTCTTCGATGCAAGAGATGTTCGCACCTTTTCTCCTGGAAAGAGTATATAGCTTTCGCGGCATAGAGATGCCCCTTGATAAGAGGGTTGGAAAGGGCAAGGTGTGTGGTGGATCTGAAGTGAGTTTATTTGCTTGGCAGACGCGGACAAGAAGCGGAAGACTTCCGCTGCCCCCCGCGTTATGCCCGCCAAAACTACTACGGCGTTACGTTAATAATATATAGCAATTTGAATTAAGTACTAAGCTAAAAAAAAAGTCTCTAAAGAATTTATATTTCTTTTAAAAAAAATTTCCTTTTTAAAAAAGTATTATATAAGATTTATATATTTACTTTATAATATTCTATTTTAAATCTTTATATATTCTATACTCTTTAGTATATTATAAGAAAATAGAAGGTTTTTTTAAGAAAAAATAATAATAACTAAGTTCTATCTAGATTGAAATCTTGGAAGTGTAGCTAAGACATCTCCTTTACTGCTTTCATTCAAGCCAAATGCTCTGGCGCAGTCCTTCTCCGTCACTTCATCACCGAACGAATTACCATTGCACGTCGCCTGTACTTGGCTGAGGCCAGATGGCCAGGCTAGCCTGTCTGCGGTGGGCCTAGCTCCCTTCTCTCATCTGGCTGCAATACAGGCCAGGCGCAACCTAAAGTCCGGATGACCACGAGCTTGATAAGTCGCATACAAACTTATGAAATCCTCGAGGACATTTGTTTTTTTCAATTGACCTCCCGTGGTAGCCAAAACCGGAGGATTGAAAACGCCAACGCCGCCATTCGGCTTTCTCTACCCCCTGGTAGGTTGTTTCCTCTGCATTTCAACACTTTCATTCACTGTATCATTGTTCATTCGCATCCGAACAGGTTCGAGAGAAGGCTGTTGGGCGGGCTTAGCCACCCTTCATTATTATCATTGCCAGTCCGCTCGTCTACCCTTTCTACGTTAAGGATACGAACGCGAACTCGATCACCCAATGGAGACCTCCCGATGTTTCTTCTGTTCTCCAGGTCAAGTAGAGAGGGGTATGAGGCTGGAGATCCAGTCTCACCTGGGTTAAGTTCTGGGACAATGTCTGCAGTGATTGATCGGGCTGCGAGTGATGGGTACTCTGAACGCGGATGTAGGGGAGGAATGACTCGATCCCTTCCCGATAAAGATGCATGTGGACGTGTGCTTTTGAGGCTGAATGGAAGAGGGGGTGGAGAATATAGGCTCGGTAGAGCTGGTCAAGTTGAAGGTTAAAGTTTCGTCGGTATGCGAGATGAATGTTGGGTCTGATTTTGCCTTGACAAAGCGCAAGGCGTTGGGACCTGGGACCAAGGGCGGACCCCGAAGCACGAGAGATGTTGGTTGCTCGAGACGGGTATGGCGTGGTGTGATGCGATCGTATGTCTTGTCGATGTACACAAATTCGCTCGTTATAGGGCCTATGATATCCTTCTCGGGCTTAAGAGTGTCGAACGAGTAACAAGCCGTCCTGTATGCCCGCCTCCGCTCGGATATATCTGCAGCCGGACCACCTAACTTTGGCAGTAGGTCGAGCCAGATCATCACCCTCGAATCATCTCGCTCATCAGTACAATCGAGTATGGCTGCAACAAGCCTTGTTGCAGACAAACGTGGCGCTTCCTTCTTCAGGTGAGCCTTGTCAACAAAATGCAGTTCCATAGACAACCCCAAGCTTGTCAGAGAGTGCGGCTGTTGCGAATACCCTGGATGATGGCTGCTGACGATGTTTGCTGAGTTGGCGAATGCAGCTGGACCAGCAGCCAGCAGTCCACATGCGTTGGGGACGGGGGGCTCCCAAGCAAAGATTGACTCATCGTAAGTCACCTTGAGTATCTCCTCCTGTAGTCTTCGAAAGGCTCGGTCTCCTTCCCCATAAAGCAAAGGCATACTGACATTGAACAGGCCAAGAAGACAATATGCCATGTCTTCAATACGCTGCGTTTGTCGTCTCGAAGCCCAGGAAAACTTTTGGGCGATGCTGGCACTCAAGGCATGATCGAATTGAACCTCACTGATTCCTGTCGCTTTGGTCACACTCGATTGGAGCTCGTGTCGGGCGCCAATACTCTTCCAGGCTTGGTCGTAGAAGACAACCACCTTCGGGGCCAACAGCTCCTGAAGCGTCCAGCCGCGCCGAAACCAGCGACTGGCTATGAAGGCTGCCTCCAAGCCGGGTATTTCGTCAAGTCCATTCCCGGCGTCCTTGGAGGGCGGTAGTGACACATCCACAAGGTATGCGTAACAGACTCGCGCGTCGCGATACCATTTGTACATGGAATTGATGGCCTCCGAAAGCTCTGCGCTGCTTTTCTTGTCGATGCAGCAAGTATCAATCCACATCCATTTAAGATGTTGCTCGGCCGCAATGGCGCAGCTGGCTTTGATCTTCCCATACCCCGCCAGTCCCTCTCTGCCTTCGCCTTGGAACTGCGCAAAAGATACCTCGTCCTTGCCCCAGGTGTGCGAGAGGATTGCATACGGGGGGACATCTACTCCGTGGAACTCTTGGAGCTCGAGTGAGGTAGTATGCACAAGGAACATTTTTGAGCGCAATTGACGTCTTCAAATTCTCTTGAAGCAAAGACAGCGGCGACTCTGTCTCCGTACGTCGGTCATTCTCTTGGAATTCGTGCACACGACCGCTTAATTTCATGAGCTGGGGCCAGGATACCCAACTTACACGGCCACAAAGGGTTGAATATCAACCATCTGAACGGAGTGGCTGGCTGGTCATGGCGCGGGGCGGACGTGAGTGAGGTGATAGGCTAGGATTAATTCTAAGGCCGGTCGATGGGGAAACTAAATGCCGAGCCGGTCTCCCTCAACCTAAGGTTTGCTTCGCAATACATCAACCTTCGATAGCTTAATAGACGCATAAAGATAAACATTAGTAGTATTAGAACCGCTCGGAGCTTCTTAACCTCCTTTTGAAAAACGGTTGCCTCGGGCGGGCCCCATTGCGCATCCTCTTTCAGGTTGACTTCAATCAATAAGCTCTTCATACCAACAAAACGCAGTAAAAGCGACACGACTATTGGTCTTCAAATGAGAAGGCCGCCGCCGCCCTCTGGTTCTCCCCGCCCGTCAAGCGACAAGCGAATGGCAGCGGTGGCCCAGCTTCAGCGCCAACCTGGCTGGCCGACACCCGTGCTTGAAACCAACAATCCTTGGAATTCCAACGTGTCGGCCATTGATGACTGGTGCTGCGATGCAATCTCGTGACGCAGCCACCTAGTCTTCTGTGGCATGCTTTCTCAAGTGCGACTCTTTACGCCTTCTCACTGCATCCTATGAGGCTGTCCCTGGCCGCGAAACATCTCGCCCTCCCACATAGCGGAACTCCTTCAAGGCTACCTTCCTTTGGACGAATACCCTTCCCTCCTCTCTCTATCCAGATGGAGAAGGCCTAGCGAGCCTTGCGCAAGCCGACAGTTGGCTATGTAACTTAGCCCAGCTCAAGATGCAGGTTCACAATCGATTGCTGACCTTCCTCAAAGCACTTCGCCACAGGACGTTAACCTTATTTTGCCTCCATCTCCCGCTCTGACCTCCTCAAATAAAGCTGCCTTCAAAGCAGGCGATTTGTCTATAAGCTTCCGATACCACGAAGACGCGACATCCACTCCCCGACCCAGCCAAAGCCCGGCGGAGAACTTGTTCAATCCTACCAAAGACCTTGCCTACAAGATTGCAAAAGGTAGCACAGGACGAAGTCAATAGGTGGCAATTGGCATAGGCAGATCCCATTGAATCCTTAAAAGCTTGGCGTCGACATCACTGTAAACGGGCGTTGAAGAAGAAAGGCCAGAATACAACGAAGGTCATGGTTGTGTTCGCAAAGCAGGGGATATACAGCTGCTGGAGTGAGCTTGCAAGAGATTTCAAATCGAGCCTTGGTTCGCAAGATCGCCGCGCGCACGCTTCAAGTACATTCGCAGATAAGCGCCAGTATTGTCTCTGTCTATGCACCGCTCGCCAATCCCTTGTGCTCGTTACGAGTCGGCATTTGGCAGGATGAAGAGCATGGACACAAACACGCCTCAAGGAGACTTCAGGCCTGTGCCGTCGCAGTCTCTCTGATGGTCTGAGGCAGTGTCCACGTGCGGTTCGTGCTACGCGGAACCAGAAGCCACGCATACAGCCGCCCTTTTTTTGGGCCTGGACATCGACTTGAGCAAGTTCAAGCAGGGAGACCTTTGTCAGCTACTCCACGGCGGTGTCTTCAGTCCCTTGATATTGTATGGAGGCTCTTACATGGAGAACTCCCTAAAATCTACCGTGACATCCACCTGCGCGGCCACTGACCAACCTTACTATTGCAACCCAAGCACATTTCACGCTACGAAGGAAGCAAAGCGTATACCCGCAATTACTCCGGCCTAAAAAATCATGAATGATGTCGACGCTGGATTTAAGACGAGCCACAAGAGCCTGAAATTCGGGTTGCACGACCTTACAAGCTGCTCTACCCAATCTCAATGCCTTCAACTCGAAGGGAGGTAGTAGGACCAACCTCGCGCCTGGTGCCCTCGGAGGCTCAGACCCAGGTTTATACACATAGACGCGTTGTCCAATCACAATGGAATTCGAGATCAGACTAGTCCAAGTCATCGTTCGCAAAAATGGCCGAGAGCCTTAAGCAACCTTGACGCCTTAATTTTGATATGCTGACGGCCAAAGTCGTCGACGAGAACGACATGAGTTTTGCAGATATTTCGAATTGCAGAGATGACCTGGACTCCAACTCTAATGGACCATGCGCTGGACATACGCGCAGGGCTGTACACATCTGAAGGCGCATTCGATTGCACATCCGAGCCAATCGTGAACAACATGGGGTATGATCTTCATCATCCAATGCGTCGATGAGGGGGCATCCAATTATGGCATTCGGCCACAGGCAGAAGCACAGCCTTTGGCAAGACGTTGCTCGAAAGGACTACATAGGTGGGCGCAGGGTTGTAGGGAGACGTCGTCACAATCAACAGATACTTTGTACGGCTCCCTTGTAGAAGTCGAGCGTCTTCGCCGATGGCTGTGCTCCAAAGCAATATGGGGACCTGCTTACCGTCGCTGAGAAAGAAACTCGCGTTTAGGAGCAATGATGAAAGGCAAAGCGATTGAGTTCCGTCTGCTCGCGGTTATATATGCATCGATTGCGCGGCTCTGTTTCTCGTCACAAGCTTCAATCTTAAACACTGTAATTGTAATACTAAGAGCGTTGTTATCTTTCCTCGCTTTCTTATCTGCTTTGATTACCGTCTAAGCGTCGCTTAGATAGAAGATGAAAGGCATTCAATATCGCCCTGCTGTGCGCGTGGGTTAGGCATCGGAACCTAGCTTTCCAGTGCATTTTGCTGCACTCAAAGGAGAATGTAATATCGTGATCTGGACTCGATATCTCTACGCCATTATCTGTACTTACTTTAATGGTTGCGCCAAGCGCTACTTGCTGGCTCAGCCGTGATCACTTGTTAACATGTCACCTCCATTGTATTAAACCGCCTCGAACGCAAGATATCACTGGAATGCGATACCAAGATATGCTTAACGATTCTCCTAAGGCTTTTCGTCTTTTCCCTTAGGCTTGAACGGTCCTCTGCTAGCCATAAAGACCTCTTCTAAGCTTTTCACGACGTCTGTTAGCGGCGTTAAGGACTAAAGTAAACGCGTTTATTTTAACTATTTAATAGTTGTGATAGAAAGGTTGTAGTAGTAGATACTTACTTATTAAAGCTTTCCTTCTTTATTTTCTATCTATATATAAAGTACTATTCTATAAAACTATCTTAGTAAAGATTTTAAATTCAAAACACTTACTTTATACTTTATATAATAATTATTATTATTATATAAAAATTATTTTAAATTAAATAAAAGTAAAAATATATATACTTTATATATTAAAAATATTATTAATTAAAAGTATATACTATTTCTTATATATATATTAAAATAATATAATAGAAAAAATTAAAGAAAAATAATTATATTTTAGATTTTTATAAAGCTAATATATAATTAAATATTATATTAAGATTTTAATTTAAAAGTAAAATAGTTTTACTTCTTAATAAATATATAATAATAAATACTTTTAATTATTAATATATATATATATTTATAAATTCCTTAGTAATATAATATACTTATAATTCTTTAATATATATAGTACCCTAGGTACCTTACTATATAGATTTATATTATTAAGAATAAAAAGTTAATTTTAAGTTAAATTTTAATCTTTAATATTAAAATTAAAATATTATTAAGAATTAATCCTAAATTTAATTAAATATTAATATATTAAAATTTTAGTTATTTAATTATTATTATTTATATTAAAATTATTAAATCTTAGATTTATAAAAATAATTAATTTAACTAAAGTTAATACTTTTATAATTTCCTTAATAGTAATTAAATTATATATTTTATTATTAAATAATTATTAAATATTTACTTATATTTTAATTATACTTTTTACTATAATATTATCTTATTTATAATGATTATATATATATATATATATAAAGACTTACTTTAATTAATTAATTTAATAAGTATAGCTAAAGTATTATATTATAATAATTAATTAATTTATTATATTTAATAGAAAGTATTTAATTATAATAGTAAAGTTAAGTCTTTTAACTTTTAATAATATAATTTTAATAATTATATTTAATATAAATTCTAAGTTTTACTTAGACTTTTCTTTTTAAAAGTTATTAATAATATAAATCTTATATTTAGATTTTATTAAAAAGTAATATATATAAGTAAGTATATTATAAAGTTTATATTTATTAATAAATTATTAATATATTAATAAGATTTATAAATAGCTATAATAATATCTTTAATAAATATAAATATTTTTATAATTCTTTTTTTATAATTTTATATTACTTTTAATAATTTTAATAATTTTAAGAAATTTATATTTAATAAAATAAATAGCTATAAAAAAAGAAAGTAGTTTTATATTATTTTACTATATAAATCTATATATTTATAATAAATATTAATAACTATAAAGTTTTTTTAAAGTTATTTTTTAAAGAATTTATTTAATATTTTATAAATAATAATAAAGTTACTACTATCTATAAATACTTTTATATATTTTTTAATAATAATTTATTAATTTATTTTAATATTTTTAATAGGTTTTTATTTTTATTAAAAACTTATAAAATTTTATAAAATTTTCTTTAAAATCTATTATTATTTTCTATTATAAATTTATTATAAGATCTTTATAATATTTAGTTAAAAACTTTATATTAACTTTAAAAATATATATTAGAATTAACTTCTAAATAACTTTACTTAAGAATAAATTTATTAAAATATATAATATTATAAACTTAATTATCTTAATTTTAACTTATTTTATAACTCTATTAATCTTAACTATATTCTCTTTTATCTTAGCTATATTTATATATTCTATATTAAAGTTTTTAAAGTCTTATATAGTTAACTTATATAAATCTAACTTTTTATTAATAGCTTAGCTTTTTAAATAAATTAAA